TCCAAATAGGAAAAGGAGTACATCAAGGCTGTATATTGTCACCCTGCTTATTTAACTTATATGCAGAGTACATCATGAGAAACGCTGGGCTGGAAGAAGCACAAGCTGGAATCAAGATTGCCGGGAGAAATATCAATAACCTCAGTTATGCAGATGACACCACCCTTATGGAAGAAAGCAAAGAAGAACTAGAGTCTCTTGATGAAAGTGAAAGAGGAGAGTAAAAATGTTGTCTTAAAACTCAACATTCAGAAAACTAAGATCATGGCATCTGGTTTCATCAATTCATGGAAAATAGATGGGGAAACAGTGGAAACAGTGACAGACTTTATTTTTCTGGGCTCCCAAATCACTGCAGATGGTGATTGCAGCCATATAATTAAAAGACGCTTGCTCCTTAGAAGAAAAGTTATGACCTACCTAGACAGCATATTAAAAAGCAGAGATATAACTTGCCAACAAAGATCCGTCTAGTGAAGGCTATGGTTTTTCCAGTAATCATGTATGGATGTGAGTATTGGACTATAGGAAAAACCGAGGGCCGAAGAATTGATGCTTTTGAACTGTGGTGTTGGAGAAGACGCTTGAGAGTCCCTTGGACTTCAAGGAGATCCAACCAGTCCATCCTAAAGGAAATCAGTCCTGAGTATTCATTGGAAGGACTGATGTTGAAACTGAAACTCCAATACTTTGGCCACCTGATGTGAAGAAGTGACTCATTTGAAAAGAGCCTGATGCTGGGAAAGATTGAGGGCAGGAGGAGAAGGGGATGACAGAGGATGAGATGGTAGGATGGCAACACTGACTCAGTGGACATAAGTTTGAGTAAACTTCGAGAGTTGGTGATGGACAGGGAGGCCAGTGTACTGCAGTCCATGAGGTTGCAGAGGGCTAGACATGACTGAGCGACTGAACTGAACTGAACTGATGTATGAGCTGAACTGATGTATATAACACAATGGGAGTGGAGGGGTTTGGAATGTGAGGAGGCTTCAGGGGTTGAGAGTTGACTTAGAAGACGGCACAGAAGTTGTGGGACCTGAGGGAGGCTTCAAAGGAGTAGATGAGAGGTGCTGAGGTAAGAACGAATGGAAGTGGCCTCACATGGCTTGATCATTTTCCACTCTTTTCCCAGATCCAGTAAAGATATCAGGAAGTGGTCGTTAACTTCAAATAGTTGAACATTTCCTTTTGAAGAAGTCTTTTTCTTCAACTTCTTCTGTTTGGGACTAGAATGCAGTACTGTATAGGGAGAGACAGTATTAGCAGATCTGAACAGTAATCTGAGCTCAGTGATATTTTTTTTCAGCAATATTTTTTTCAGTGTTCCTCTAGATACTTTATCCATATGAAGTCATTTATTTTCTCTTAATATTTATTTATTTAGCTGTGCCAGGTCTTAGCATGTGGGATGTGGGATCTTTAGTTGTGGCAGTTGAACCTGGGCTCCCTGAATTGGGAGTGTGGGGTCTTAGCCACTGGACCACCAGGGAAGTCCTTGTATGAAGTCATTTAATTCTTACCATACCCTAGTAAAGTAGATAGGTGCTATTCCTATCCCTGTTTTACAGATGAGGAAACTGAGGCACAGAGCAACCAGGTGGCTCATTCAAGGTCCCAGAGCTATTGTCGTGAGGAACAGGACCTGAATCTGGCTCTAGCAGGCCCCAGAGTGCAGTTCCCGCCCCCCCCCACCCCCCCGCTTCCCTGTCACCCTAGAGAGGGACATGGCACTGCCCTGGCACTCGTGGGAAGTGTGAAGGCCCCATCCCCTACAGCAAGGCTGTTCAAGCGGCAGCAGGATCTATAGGAAGAGGCCACCCACTCCCAGGGCTTGGTGGATGGTGGCGCTTGGGGGCTCTTCTAGGCTCTCCCCGTCTGCTCCTTGGAGAGTCTTTCTCTGTAGTGGCTTCCTGAGGAGCAACAGGTAACCACAGGAAAAGGAAGAAGCTGAGCCCATCGAGTAGTTTTGCCTTCCTGACACCAACCAGCTACTGTGACCAGTCACTTCACTCTCAGCTGCCTGACAGTTCCTTCCCAGGTGCCCAGACAGAGCTCGGTGCCCCGGGTCCCTCAAGATGACCTAGGGTGGGGTTGTGGGCGAGGTGCTGACTCTTAGGAGTCTGTTTGTGTGCTCCCCACTGGGGGGCAGCAGGTGTGGAGCTAGTGAAAAAGGGCACTGCTACCACATGCCCTGCCACGTCCTGGGGGGCTAAGCACTGGGAACTGGAGTGGGGACACCTGGCCCGTTCCTTAGAGGGAGGGGTCAGTGATGTGGGTGACAGTCACCCTGAAGAGAGGCAGGCAGAGCCATGCCCCTGTGGTGGGAAAGGAGGGCCTTGTCCCGAAGATCCAGACTCCTAGCCCACCTGGGATTCTAGGGTGTTCTCTAGCTACCCACCCACTGTGTTCTGGGGAGTGGGGAAGAGCTGGAAGCTAAGGGGCAAAAGGCAGAGCTGCCTCAGAGAGTGTCCCCCTACCTCGGAATCCTGGTTAGTTGAACAATGCTTCAGCATTCTCATGTGTCTAAGGTGCCCCATCCCAGACAGCACTCGGCCCTGTGCCAACCTGCTGAATTTGCTCAGTACAGTGGGGCTGCTAGTGAGAGCAGTAGTGACGGGGATCACACAGTCAAAGCAGCTTCCTCTGATCAAATTGTCAAATCCTTTGACACAATCATGTTCATTTCTGGCATCAGTGTAGGGAAATGGCTGGAGTACTGGGCACGGAGGGTGCTCAGTGAATGTTAGTTGTGGCAGTCAGCAGCGTTGCTCTTCTCATCCGGCCTTATCAGGTGAGACAACGGGAGCCTGTGTTGATAGGCTGAGTGGGTCTGTAGCCTGGGCTGTGTTGTCTGAAAGCCCTGACTGCAGTCATCACCCACTTACTCACTGCACGAACCTCCCTAAGCCTCAGTTTCTTAATCTGTAAGAAGTGTGTATCGTAGTGCCTGTGTTTGAGGGTTTTTATGAAGACAAGAAAAAAAGTGAAAAATGTTAGTGGCTCAATCATGTCAAATTCTTTGTGACCCTATGGACTGTAGCTTGCCAGGCTCCTCTGTCCATGGAATTTCCCCAGGCAAGAATACTGGAGTGACTTGCCATTCCCTTCTCCAGGGGATCTTCCCAGAGACTAAGGGAGAGGGTGCACAAAAGCTATCTTATCTAGCACAGTTATGTGACCATCGAAAGCCTGAGATCGTGCTCAAGGTGCACTGTTCGGCATACTTTCTGTGGGTTGCTCCAGCACTCTGCCAGCTGCATCTCATAGCCCGGGCAGCATGCTGCTGGCAGAACCAAAAATCAGGTTCTGTGACCTTGAGATGTTGGTTACTCTGGTAACCACTTACCTAATGTGCATTACTTCACTGAATCCACTCAAGAAGATTACAAAATACCTATTCCTCTTGTCATAGCCCATTTTATAGATGGGAAATCTGAGCTATAGAGAGGATGTGACTTTATCTAAACCCGTAAATAGTGGTGCCAGGCTTTGAACCCAGGAAATTTGACTCCTCGAACAGCTTTTAACCACTTTCTTCCATCCTTGCTGCTTGGGAATCCTAAGGTGAATCAGACATAATCCAGGACCCTTAAACGCCATTTGGATTTGGGGGGATTACTTAGTGTCCTCCACTGAGTTTTCTCTTCTTTCCTGTCTACCTCAGAGAGTTCTATCTGCAACAGATGAGCTCATGGGTCTGAAATGCTTTGAAAACGGGAACACACTATCTTAACACAGTTGGTAATATACCAAGCAGACAAAATAAAACTTGGTAGAGTCCCAACGATGGATTTTTCCATTCGAATTCACTTGTGTGATGCTCCTTTAAGCAACAGACATCACCACCTAACAGACTATTTGGAATATATTATATTTGGAAAGAGCTGAGCTGGACACGAGATGGTATAGTTGTTCCACATGGAACTTGGTAGCATCTACATTAGTCCCTGAAACAAAGTGTTTTGGAACAAAAGTAGTTTTTGGATTGTTTGTCCTCTACCTTTACATTGAGAGCACCAGAGCTCTTCCGCTGCAGCAAAGGAGTGTTTTCTATAGGATGATTTAGTTTTTATTCTATGTAGAACAGTAAAGTATTTTCATCCTTCTTAGTTACCTTTAGTAGTAGTTAAGGTTGAGTGAATTGCCTTGGAGTTACAGGCAACTACCTTTAAAAATGCATGTCCTGTCCCACTTCAGAAATGCATGCTATTTTAGCATGTGCTACTTTAAGCCAAACAATACACATTGTATTGATTAGGCCTAAGGATGCACCTTGCATACACCGCCAAACACAAGCGGCTAAGCAGTCAGGGTGACACCTACACTTTGGGGACTAATAGATGTGAGACTGGTGACAAAATTGAAAATCTATATTGAAAGGAACATCAATTAGGACCTTTGAAAACTGTATGAATGGAAATGCTATCTCTTAACCAGGGCCCTGGACATGATTCTATGTTGAATATCAATATTCTGTGCTGAACACACCACTAGGAATCACTAACCAAGCAACTGTATGCATGAAATTACATTAAGGAAAAATCTAACAGAAGGAATTTTTTTCCAGGGAATTTTCTCAGTGACAAATCCACATCCTGAAATTTTCCTGGTTGCAAGAATTGAAAAGGTTCTCCAAGGAAACATCACACACTGCGCGGAACCCTACATCAAAAATTCCGACCCAGCAAAGGTATTTATAAAGATCATTTGTGAGCATTTCAGCCAAATGCAAAATTTGCTTTTATTGATACTTTAAATGATACTGTCAATGATGCCTCTAAAAAGAAAGACAATAACAACAAAAAAAAACCCCAACATTCTTTCAGCATGCAATATATTCTGAAAATATTGTGTGCTCTGTGAGTATGCATGTTTAGGCTTGAAAATAACTTTTTCCCCCTTTTCACATGGCAGTCTGATTTTTGCTTGTTTATTAAAATCAGAGCTAAAGGCTTTTAGGCAATATCTATTCATTGACACTGTATCCTTGGAAATAGCTACTCTTTCTTTATTCCCAGCCCTGCATATAGCCAAAGATGTCAGAGCAACGAGGGTAAAAATGACCCAAGTCCTGCACTTTCCAAATGCCAGACTGTACTCAAATTTACTCCTGTCTCTGATGAAATGAGAAAAGAAAGACAAGATAGAGAGCCATTCATGAAGCTTCAGGGTATTCAATTTGAAGGAGTTTATTCTGAGATTTTTGCCCTTCCTACTTTTTAAACATCACACCTGTCTGTCTTTCCTATAATGTTGGTATGTGAAGTGGCAGGGATTGTGGGAAGATTGCCTAGAGGAGGACCTGGCAACCCACTCCAGTATTCTTGACTGGAGAATCCCTATGGGCAGAGGAGCCTGGTGGGCTGCAGTCCACAGGGTCACAAAGAATCAGACACGACTGAGTGAGTAAGCACAGCACACATCTTTAAATGGGTAATTCTCCAAATTTCTGGATCATGAATTCTGAACTTTTGGAAATTATTGATCTAATCCTCTCTCATTTTATAAATGAGAAAAGTCAGCCCAAAGACGGAAAGCATTCATGGCATAGTTCATTAGCGGCAATCCAGCTTCTGAGTTTTTATGAGTCAGTCTGTTGTATGTAGCCTTTAGTTGTGGATCCAAATAGTGTTTATTAAGTAGGAGATGCTGAGGAGACATATGACTAATTTGTGGGGGGAAAAGTCTCAACAATATAGATAAAAGCCTTCAGCATTCTGTATCCCTCGGGATAGCATAGAGGCAGCATTTCACAGCCTGTTTAGACTCTATAGGCAGTTTATCTCCTTTGTCATCTCCCAGTGTCTGTGCAAACAGCAGCTCCTGCCCACGCTAAACTAATTGCATTGATTCTTGGTCATTTGGCTTTTATCTTGGGAGTTAAAAAGGTCAGCAGTACCCAGAACCAACTTCACCCAAGAATGATAAGTATATGCCTGCTCATGTGTGAAAGGAAATAGACATTAAAACTGCTTAATTTTTTCCCAATAACAGTCTTCAGTACAAACCATGCCCTACATCTATTTTGTTTGTCTTCTGATATCTTGATGAGGGCTCTGTTGATGAGAAAATCATAACCTTAGGAAATACTTTTATCTTGAAAAGTGGGTGGCTGATGTGTGTTGTGTTTCATTTATAACTATTTCTGTATCTTGTTTTCCTAGTTTTTGATGTTTCATATCAGTAAGTTGGGGAAATTATTTTTTCTGGGTGAGTCTCTGATAGTTTGGACAAATCTGAGCCTATCTTTTTATTTCTAACCTTAGACGGCCCAGAAGGTACACAGGACAGCTAAGCAAGTGTGTAGCCGCCTTGGACAATACAGAATGCCCTTTGCTTGGGCTGCCAGGTTTGTACAAATATATTTCTGACCCATCTATTCATGCTCCCGTGTGAAGTTGAGGGCTATTGTCCTTGCCAGCAGCATTCAGAAGTCTATTTCTGACAAACCAGTTATATATTGGGACACTTGGGATGTGTCTCAGTCCATTCAGGCTGCCATAACAGGTTAGACTGGGTGGCTTAAACAACAGACGTTCATTTCTGACCATTTCTGAGGTTAGAAACTTGAGATCAGAGTGCATCGTTGGGTTCTGGTGAGAACTCTTTTCCAGGTGTTAGACAACCAGTTTCTCCTTGTAGTCTCACATAGTGAAATGAGGGCAGGCTAGCTCTCTGGCCTCTTATAAGGACACTAATCCTATTCATAAGGACTGCATCCTCATGACTGAATCACCTCTCAAAGGCCATACAAATACCATCACCTTGGGGATTAGATCTCAACATATGAATTTGGGGGTGTAGGAGCAGCAAAGTGACACAAACATTCAGTCTATAGCAGGATGTAAAAATTCTTTCTTTTAGAATTTGCTGTGCCTCAAAGACCCTTTCATTTTTTCAAATGTCTTGCTTCAGGGAAATTTTCTTTGGCTTGGGTTACTGATCTGACTGACACCACTTAATTTTATTGCCTTTTAAAGCAGAGCTTATTTGCTAAAGTGATGGAATTTTTTTTCCAGAAAACCAGAAATTGCAGTGAATTGTGTACAATGTGCCCACTATTTTAGAGTTGGCTGGGTTTATGCTTTGGAAAGCCATCATAGAGTAATTCTGAAAAACATACTAAAAACTAGAAGGCAAAAAATGTAGTTGCTCAGTGCAAGTGTGTAATTACTTAGTAGATTTTCTTGCTTTCTGATGACAAATTTGGCAACTTCTTCAGGGGTAGTATATTGGGAAGTGTGTTAATTGTACCACATATCTGATGGTGGTTTACATGATTTTTGTCTAAATCTTGCCAATCTACCTACAGTGATGACTGAAACTGTATTCCTCGCTTATACTCCCTTTGAAGTACAAGTTCACTGACTTGTTTATGGTACAGCCTGTACAGCTCACTGGAACTTCTGGGGAAAGGGCACTAAGTTCTGAATAATTCAATGAGTTTTGTTCAGTGTGTGTTGGGGAGTACCATAAGGGTAGGAGATTTAAGTTCAGTAACTGTTCTATCACTATAATCATTTCATTTTGGGAGAGCGTCTCAAAATGTGTTATATGTTGGTAGATGAAAAGGCACCTTGTCCTTATTTTGCCAACTAGGAAGAAATGCTAGCCAAGGATAGGTCAAGGGAAAAGAAGAGTGGAAGGTATTCCTTAGCTGGTCCAGAAGGTGAAACATACTTAGTGATGCTCCAGTGGCTACTGCTGTTCCTATTGGTCAGAAAGTTCGTTCAGGTTTTAAAAACCAGAACAAACTTTTTGGCCAGCCCAATATTTATGGTAATTAAGTGCTGACTGTACAAGGTGGGCTTCCCAGGTGGCACTAGTGGTAAAGAACCTACATGCCAATGCAGGAGTCATAAGAGACACAGGTTCAATCCCCGGGTCGGGAAGATCCCCTGGAGGAGGAAATGGCAACCCATTCCAATTTTCTTGCTTGGAGAATCTCATGGACAGAGGAGCCTGGTGGGCTGCAGTCCATAGGGTCTCAAAGAGTCAGATGTGACTGAAGCAACTTAACACACGTGCACGTACAAGGCAGAGGTCTATGTGCTTAATGTATATTTCTTTTAGAGGTAGGTACTATTCTCCCCCATCTTGGAGATGAGGAATTTGAGTCACAGAAATAAAAAAAAAAAAATCCTTGCCTAAGTTGGCATGGCATGTATGTAAGCAGGTCTCAGAACTAACAGCACCTGAATTCAGAGCCCACAATAGACAGCCATGGCACATGCTCTCCACCCCTTTTTAGGCCATATCAGTAACTGCTTGATGCTAATGTGCTTGTAGAAAAATAAATTGTAAAACCTTCAAAGTTAGAAGCTTTAATCCCCAGTTCTGATGTGGAATTATGCTGTTTTTTTTCTTCTTAAATTATTTTGGTTGTTAGCAGCAACAGGAACTGACTCTAAAGGCTTGGCTGGGATATTTAAAAGCTGTGTGATAAACCCCTGTTTACTGAAAATAAAAGGAGGTATGCTTAGAAGTAGGAATGATAGTTAGTGCCTTTAACCACATTTTTCAGAGGCTTTGCCAGGGGAGATTGTGCTTTTGGCCATAGTTGCTTCCGGTGTGTTGGGTGCTTGTATATTACTTCCTGTTCTGGCAGTAAAACAGCTACTCGGAAAATGAAAGAAGAGAAGGAGGAGGGAATAATTCCAATTCATATTAGAAATTTTATAGATATATTATAAACTCTATGTAAGTTGATCTTAAAGATCTAATTCAATTTTTATCAACTTCACAGAGATATAATTTATCTTTGATTAAAATGCACATTTATATGTCCAGGTTGATAAATTTCCACAGATGTATATAGTCATATAACTACCACCCCAACCAAGATCTAGAACATTTCTATCACTCCAGAGAGTTCCTCACATCCCTGTCCAATCAGCCATCCACTCCCACCCAGGCAACCACTGACCTTAGATGACTTTTACCTATTCTGGACTTCACACCAATGGAATCATGCAGTATGTAACCTTGTCTATGGTTTCTTGTTCTCAGTCTGTTTTTGTATTTTATCCATAATGTTGTATCAGTTGTTCATTGAGTAGTATTCCATTGTAAGAATATACCACGATTTGTTTATCCATTCATTTGTTGATGAATATCTGGGTGGTTGCCAGTTTGGGGTTATAACAAATAAATCTGCTGTGAACATTCAAGTATCATGTGGAAATATGCCTAGGAGTTGAATCGCAGGATCAGAGGGTAGGTGTATGCTTAACTTCATGAGAAATTGCCAAATTATTTTCCAAAAGAGTTTCACCATTTTATGTTCCCATCACCACTGTTTGATCTTAATTTAGCCATACTCTCGAGTTAAGAAAAAACCCTCTGTTGCTCTTTTAGGCCCATTTTCAAAGATATTCAAGGCTCTCTGGACCTGGATGGGAGATTTTCTCCTTTGTATAAACAAGATAGTAGCAAGCTTTCCAATGAAGACATTCTCAAGTTGCTCTCAGAATACAAGAAGTAAGTGTTTTAGAGTTACTGCAGTAAATCAGTAGCATAGATGAATTATAATTTCTTTGAATGATGAATGTGAGTCATATGTGGGAAAAATCAAATGTTAGAGCATTTGGATTTGGAAGCATTTGGAAGTTTGAATAAATGGTAACCAGTACACTTAGTAATCATATTTTTTGAATATAAAATATTCTTATTTTACATCTAGGCCAGAGAAGACCAAATTGCAGATTATTCCTGGGCAGCTAAACATCACAGTAGAATGTGTTCCTGTGGATTTTTCAAGTAAGAACTTACATATTGCAAATAAACCTAAAAGGCTATGTTTGAATCTCAGGATTTTTATTTTTTTAATGTTTATTTATTTCACTGTACCGGATCTTAGTTGCAGCACGTGACCTCTTAGTTGTGGCATGTGGGATCTAGTTCCCTGACTAGTGATCAAAACTGGGCCCCCTGCGTTGAAAGCACTGAACTACCACTAGGGAAGTCCCTGAAGCTCAGGTGTTTTATCTTCCTAACATTTTTCTTGAGATTTACATGGTGTATTTGTTTCCTAGGGCTGCTGTAAGAAAGTATTACAAACTGGGTGGCTTAAAACAACAAATTTACTCTCTTGTGGTTCTAGAGGCTGGAAGTCAAAATCAAGGTGTCAGCATGGCCACGCTCCCTCACAGTGCTCTGAGGAAGAATCTCTTCTTCCTAGCTCCTAGTGGCTGTTGGCTAGCCTGGGCATCCTTTGGCTTATAGGTGTATCATTCTGGTCTCTGCCTCTGTCCTCATATGGTCTTCTACTAAGAGCACCAGTCATTGGATTTAAGGCCCACCTAAATCCATTATGATCTCATCTTAACTAATTACATCTGCCAAGGCCCTATTTCCAAATAAGGTCACATTCTGAGTTTCCAGTGGACATGAATTTTGGTGGGACACTATTCAAGCCAGGACACATGGTGAATAGTTAGAGATTAGGAAGTAAATTAAGTTGATTTTTATCAGATGCTGTTTCATGTATAATATATGATGTGAGTGTGTTCCAGTCAGTTTCTGCTCCTTTTGCCTTGGCTGAATTTCATCAGTGAAGGGATCCAAAAGGAGAATTTCTTTTGTCTAAAGACAAGAATCTATGATCCTAGGAGAAAAATGGACAGAAGACAGAAAAGACAATTTGCAGGAAATAAAATGACTGGTAAATAATTGGAAAACATCCAGTCTCGGTAATTATGCCAGTAACACAAATGTAAATATTTCAGCATTGTGGTGTTTTTGTTCATCTATCAAATTTGCAAAAAATGAACTGTAACTGTAATGCCGGCTTAGTTTTGACCAGGCACTGTCACCTATCTCAAGTAGGAGTACAGTTTGGCAAGAGACATCCATGAATGTCTATAACTAAGGTATTCTAATTCTGACATTCTGTCTATCCATTTACTCACCAAATAAACATTTAGTGAGTAAACTATTGAATACTTACTAGGTGCTTTGAAAGTATGGAGATTACAGTCTAGAAGGAGTGACAGACATTTAAACAAGAAAGCAAATGAATAATTTCTGTCTCTGATTGGGTGGGCTACTTTCAAAAAGGGTGGCTAAGGAAGGCTCACCATGTGGCCCAGCCTGCGTGAGATGGTTGGGACTGTACATTCTACTCTGAGGTTGTCACATGTAAAGATCTTGAGGTGCAGATAGGTTGGTTTGTATGAATGCAAAGGGAACTGGTGAGGCTCTAGTCTAGTGTGTGATGTGAACACGGGAGATAGGAAATAAAGTAGGAGAAGCAGGAAGAATCACATCATGAAGAGCAGTGTGAAAACCATGGTAACTCCTCAAAAAACTGAATTTCATCTCAAGTACAATGAGAAGTCACGAAAGGATTGTAAGTAGGAGAGTGGCAATTGACATGTTAAAACACCTAAGAGTTCAATGGATAACTTTTTCCTAAAGAAATAACTTGAAGTGTAGACAGGAGTTTATGCATAAAGATATTTTTTGCAGTGTTGTCTGTGTTACAGAGGGGATTGAAAGCAACCAAAGAGTACGACACTGTCAGTGTGGTTCAGTCATGGTTTAGTTCAAGTGTGGTTCAGTTCAGTTCTGGGATCCTGATACCATGAAATTTTTATGCAGCTCTGCAAAATGATGTTTACAAATAGTTCGTGAAATAAGATATCAGATAAAATACCAACAACTAGGATAAAGTTCTCTATACAGTGCGATTTTTGTGTTTGTTAGATGAGACATATCTAGAAAGAAGACTACAAGAAAAGATGCCAAAATATTAGCAGTAGTTAACTCTGGGCAGTGAAATGATCACTTTTATCTGTGGATCTTTACTCTGTTCCTACAGATATTCTATTGTAAGTATCGCTATCATAGAAAACCAAACCCAGTGAAAAATATTATGTCCTCAGATCTGACTTTCCTGCATATTTCTTCTCCATCAGTATCACTCTTCAGCAAGGACCAGCAGTCTTAGAGCCCCTTTAAGTGTATGAATAACCTTTATTGCAAGTGGTTACCTCAATAACATGTGCTGCTATACTTCTCTAAGTCTTTGTGTTTTCCACATTCGGGAGGATTGAATTTATTATTGGTAACACATCATAAGATCTGTAGTTTCAGAAGGCTGCCTTTATTCCTTAAGTGAAAATTTGCACCTGTACCAAGTTAACTTTTTAAGAGGGACTAGCCATGAGCTAATTGGCATAAATTTACTGTTACTTCCCTGATACCAATAAAAAATTGCAGTGAAAAGCTAAATTGCAGTCGCAGGAGAAAAAATGTAATGGATTTCTTCGCAGAGTTTAAATTTGTCAAAATTATGATGTGTTATATTTGGAAAAATCACTATACGTTGAGAATGAAATAGCAATCTGCATCTGGTTTGAAGGGTTTCACTAAAATCAGCATCAGGCTACTTACTCCTACTTGTTCTTCTGGGTTCTTGAAGTGGCTGTATGCGTTTTTGTCAATCACTAAGAATTCTGTTAAACCATTCTTAGAGAACACAATCCAGGTATGTTTTTTTATAAATGCAGGAATGTGTTAACAATTGTTGCATCTTTGCCTGTTTTTTTTTCTGCTATAGATTGTATTACATCTTCATATGTGCCTCTGAAGCCCTTTGAAAAGAATTGTCAAAATATTACTGTGGAAGTTGAAGAGTTTGTTCCAGAAATGACAAAATATTGTTACCCATTTACCATTTACAAAAACCATCTATATGTATATCCCTTGCAATTAAAATATGATAGCCAGAAAACATTTGCCAAGGTAAACAGGATAAACTGTACATTTGGGGGTGTTACACTTGTTTATAATCTCGTTTCGTGACTCATTTTGAATGATGAATCGTTTTTAGGCAAGGAACATTGCGGTCTGTGTGGAATTCCGGGATTCAGATGAAAGTGATGCTAGCGCCCTAAAGGTTTGTTTGTGATATTGATAAGCATGCATTTTTCATAGAGACAGACATTTTGGTACTAGGTAGTTTCATATGCTAAGTTTCATGTGCTTAAATGTCAAAGAAAATGTAGTAAAGTGACAAATGTAATATTGCCTTTTCTACTCTTAAACATTACCAGTAAGATTGAGTTAAATATTAAGAAATAACACAATGTGTTAGGAGCGTATATATAGCTTTAAAAAAGGGTAAGCTGCATATGCCAGAATTTTTGTCTTTGCTCCACTTGGATTTTGCCCTGCTTCAGTGCCCAATCACAAGGTCATTTTCTTCTGACAGCTTATAGTGGTACCATCAGGGGAGTTTAAACTCCTTTCTCCTTGAAACCTGAACGGGCTTCAAGCTGACAGTAGCACAGCATGACTGCTTTGATCTGAGATATGACTTCGAGTCTGTGGCTGGCCAAATGGTGCCTCCAAACTTGAATGAGTGGTCTAGGAAAAGCATCTCAGTATCTGATATTGCGATCCTTAAAATACCTGTCACGGTACCCTTACGGTTTCACTCTTTATAGCCACCATTTACTTTTGGCTCTTTAGCCCAGGAATCAGAGGTCTGAGAGAGAAGTCCGAACATCTAGCCATCACAAAGTGTTTATCTGACTCCCCATGTCTCTAGCTTGAGCCTAAATCAGACAGATGGATGGCAAGTCTTCCACTTAAACCACCTAGGAAAAGAGGCTGAAATGTCCCCGATTAAGTCATCGAATGTTTAATAGTTCTTTGAGAAGAGATTTTTTTCACAGAGAAACCTAAGTCAAATTAAGGATTAGCTGGCTCAAATGAGGTGTCGGTTCTCTGATTCTTCCTTCAGTGGAGCTGAGAATAGTTTTTTCTTCATCCCCGTGCACTATCCTTTTGTATACTCAAAGACTCTTAGGTTACCTCTCTGCAGTTCCTGCAAATTGCCTTCATAACCATATTTCAGGAGAGCAGGCGAGTGTCAGTTTCATTTCTTAGCTGGCCTGGAGGCTGACTCTGAAGTACCTGAGTGAGTCCATTAGGAGCCTGGCTAGTCGACCCCATATTCATCCTTGAACGTATTAAGCCTATGGAAGTGAAAAACTCACACTAGAAATGAAATCGGATCTTTCCACGGAACCCTAGAAAGCCTTCCATTCATTTTATTGGTGTAGCAGCAAGCTGGTGACTCTGAAAGTGTGGCTCATAAAGTGAGAGAACAGTAAGCCCGTCTGTGGCCTAATGGCCATTCATTTTCTAATTCCTCGAGGCTAGGAATGGATCTGCTGTTGGTTCTGTTAAAACTCCTTACCTGGCCCATGCACAATGAGCATTCAGCACATGTTGCTGACCGACCGAGGAGGAGCTTCTCATATTAAGAAGTGCAAATAGCATGAGAGAAGTAAGCTTGCCAGGCCTGGCTGGAGAGTGTTTCCCTTCCAAATGATTAGAAGTGTTCAGCCACTTCCTGTCAGCTAAGTTGAAATTATATTTCTTTGGTGGCAGGAAATTGAGCAGCATCCATGGAGCCAAGTTAGGCGATGTCTGGGGGTGTCTGGAGTGACTGGAAATGATTTGGAATTTACAGGCTCATGGTGAGAGCTGGGTGGGCTTGGCCATGACCCTGTGCTCACAGATGCCTGTAACTGTGTGGTTCCCTAGCATCCTGTTTAAAGAGCGGCATGGAGAGTGGTGACTCTGTTTCCTTCTTTTGCAGTGTATCTATGGAAAACCTGCAGGGTCTGTCTTTACCACAAACGCTTATGCTGTTGTCTCGCATCACAACCAAAATCCAGAGTTCTATGATGAGGTAAAATACATTATTTTTCTCATTGAGAAAACGCTGCGGTGGTTGTTTCTTTTCTGTTTGAATTATTTCCAGTCTTGCAGCTGCACCTTCAATCCCTGAATGGTTAGTCCCATGAAAATAGAAAATGTCACATCAGAAAGAAGGGCCACTGCCTGCCTGGTGCCCTTTGGTGACAGTGGAGGCCGGGCCCACGAATGGAAGGGGCTCTGATGTGAGATAACAAAGGAAACAGACACCAGACTAGAACGGGACTTCTAGCCCACACTTGGACATCAGCTGGCTCTGTGACCTTGAGCAAGTCACTTCCCCTCCCTGAGTCTCCAATTTCCAGAGTTTAAAATAAGACATTTGGAAGGGGTTTTCTGAAGGCCTTCCTAGCTCTTACCTCCTGTGGTTCTGCATGGGAGGGTGCAGCCTGTCTGTAAGTGAAATGCTCTGAGAGACACAGCGGTGTGGCTGGGCCCCCAGAATCCCATCGGCTATACCGAATGCCTCAGTGCAGTGTAGACAGAGGCCATCTTCCCCGGCCTCTGAGCGCCTGTCCTCAGTCAGGTTGCCTGATTCTGTCCCTGGCTCTCTTTCTTCCCAGTTCTCTGTCTCTGCATGTCTGTGTCCTTCCCAGTGTCTCTCTGAGTGTCTCTGTCAAAACCTGTGCATAGCCAGCTTATCCAAATCTGCAGGCTGCCTTTGATAGCCGTGTGTCTCCATGGAACCTGGGTGTGCATCCCAGGCCAGGAGCTCTGCTGTTTCTGCTTCTCAGGCTCCACGTGTCCATCCCTGGCTTGGTCAGAAACCATCCCCCCACCCTGCTGTCCCCGGTTCCCCAGGCCCAGCTGCTGTAGTATGGAGGCCTGAAACCCCAGCCTGGGACTCGCTCATTCCTGCTTAGTCCAGTACCCCAACCTTTGCAGGGAATGTGTTTTTGCCACCCAGGGAGGGAGTGTGTCCATATTTATGTGCAGCAGAGCATTAGATACACAGATGGTCTGGATGCTGTGAATAGGCATATTCTGTGGTGAAATATACCTACAACAGAAATTAGTTATCACACCAAAGCGATGTCTTGTGTGAATGATAATTAGGCCAGATGTCCCATCACCAAGCTGTTTAATATATTCCTGTCTATAACCAGTGCCAGTCACTAGAGAAAGCTTGTTCATGTAGTAAGTAATCCATGTTAGGAAGCCAGAAATGGACTTTTCAAACATTCTTTATGTATTAACCAGGAAAGTGAGTGTGAGCGTGTGTGTGTGCATGGGTTCCTGGGCAGGTCCACGCATGTGTGTTAAATCAATTAAATCTGTGATCTGTCTCCCACATCCTTCCCAGGAGACATTACAAACATTCTCTTGGGTTCTGATTGGCAAATTACTTGAGGTGCTTGTTTTAAAGTATTAACTTTTTGCATGAAATTCATGTCATGATGATGCTTTTTATTTATTCAAGAGTAAAACTATGTTTTTCCTCTAAAGAAATTTATACAACTGTAATTTGTGGATTCCATAATATCTCAGTGACTTTTTGCTCATTTATTTGTAAAGGCTTAAATTTTTTTTTTTTTCACGCAGAGGAGGGCAATGATTTTGGAAAAAAAAAGGCAGGTTTTCAAATTCAGTGCACATTGTAGATGGATTGGATTCACTGACTCAGATTGAGTTACATAGTATCTCTGGGCTTTAAGGATGTGGTTTTGATCCAGTGTTTCAGAAAATCCTGCTGCAAAGTTGAATCCAGGAGAATCCACTGGACTCTCCAGGAAGAGTAATAAATCAGCCCTCACAACCCTAGAGAATATTATTGTCAAACTGAAATTGACCAGAAAGGCATTTGGAATATATTTAAATGATATCTATTATTTGACCCCTTGACCTGTGATTTAGAAAATTATGTCATTGGAAAAGTATGATGAAACAGAGCTAAAGGTCTGACAGTCCCACTTGACGATGAAAACAAAATGCTCTGTATAATTTTGCTTTCATTTCAGATAAAAATTGAGCTTCCCATTCACCTGCATCAAAAACATCATTTACTTTTCACTTTTTATCACGTAAGTTGTGAAATAAACACAAAGGGAACAACCAAAAAGCAGGACACAGTTGAAACTCCAGGTACGTGTGTTCTTTATTGGAGAATAGTTGATTTACAATGTTGTGTTTGAGGTGTACAGCAACTTGATTCACTTGTACATGTATATGCATCTATCCTTTTTTGGATTTTTTTCCCATATGACTTAAGACAGAGTGTTGAGTAGAATTGCCTGTGCTGTCCAGAAGTCCTTGTTTATAATCCTTTATATCTATCTACGTATCTATCTATATTTATATCTATGTCTGTCTAATCTATCTATAAGTGTGTATCTTTTAAAATTAAAAAAATTTTAGAGTATAATTGCTTTACAATGTTGTGTCAATTTCTGCTGTACAACAATGTAAGTCAGCTATAGGTATACATATATCCATGCAGTCTTTTTTTTTCATTTATTTTTATTAGTTGGAGGCTAATTACTTTACAGTATTGTAGTGGTTTTTGCCATACATTGACATGAATCAGCCATGGATTTACATGTATTCCCCACCCCATGAATTCTTTAAATCTCTGTCTCTAGAGCTATTTGAAATGGAGTTGTCTTAGTATATAACCTCTTTCATCGAGCTACAGACCACTTCCCCTTACCAAAAAGTGCATTTCTGAGTTAAAATTTCCTTGCTCAAATATGAATTGCATGTTCATTTTATCATCATTTCTACTCAACGTCATGTCCAAATGCTTTCCAGTGTGCATAGATTACTGTAGGCAACATAAAGTAATATTGCTCTTCTCAGAGAGAAACCCATGTTGTGATGCTATATTTTTGTTATTTCTTTTGTGTGGAATGGCTCAGCAAGCAGAATCTTCCAGTTCTACTCATTGAGAAGAGGGAAGTGAGCCCAGAGCCATGGGCATTTTTGAACCCATGGGAGATTGGAATTCTAGTGAGAAGAGGATAGATTTAACAAACTTGAATAAGCATTGATAGTGAAGCCCCAGTTGTGGTCTCATTCCTCACGGCTTTAGATAGACCAATGGGAAGCATCCTTGGGAGAATATCACAGGTCCTATGGACATGGCCCATGCCACATCCACTATGTCAGTGTCAGCATGCTTTGGGATTCAAATCCAAGTTAGCCTGTGCCAATCTTTTTCTTTCCTTCTTTCTTTCTTTTTAAAACATTTTTAGTGGAGTTTAGTTGCTTTACAATGTTACACTAGTTTCTATTGTACAGCAAAGTGAATCAGCTATATGTATACATATATCCCCTCTTTGTCATCACAGAGCATTGAATAGAGATTCCTGTGCTATATAGTCTATTTTCATTAGTTAATCCATTTTATATAAGGTAGTATATATATGTCAATCCCAATCTTCCAATTCTTCCCACCACCCCCTCCCACCCTTGGTGTCCATTTGTTTGTTCTGTACATCTGTGTCTCTATTTCTGCTTTGCAAATAGATTCCTCTATAACATTTTTCTAGATTCCACATGTATGCATTAATATGTGATATTTGTTTTTCTCTTTTTGACTTAGTTCACTCTGTATGACAGCCTCTAGGTCTGTCCATGTCTCTGCAAATGGCAGAACTTTATTCCTTTTGATGGCTGAGTAATATTTCATCGTATATATGTGCTACATCTTCTTTATCCATTCCTCTGTTGATGGGCATTCAGGCTGCTTCTGAGTCATTAGCCTGGACCCATCTTAAATTTGTTCATTCACTCGGCAAATATGTCTGCATATCTATTATATACTAGATACTGTAGTAGGTAATATGGAGAAGACAGTGGAGCATCGAACATAGATGTCATCTTCAGTGAGCACATGGTCCAGTGGGGGAAACAAGATCTATGTAGACATTTATAACACAAGATAGAAAGTAGTAGTTACCAATAAAATGGTGCTATGTGATCTCAGAGGAGAGTGAGTTATTCTCTGACATCGCATAAAATTGTTCAGTTCAACTGGTGGAAGGACAAGTGGCTGGGGAGTCAGGGAAGGCTTCCAGGAGGAGATGGTATTTGGGTGAGGCCTTGAAGGGTGGGCTAGAGTTTGATAATGCAGTCATGACAGGAAGGGAGAGGATTCCAGGATGAAGGAATAGCTGGTACAGAGGCAGAGTATTGTGGGGTCTGGACAGGGAACCCCAAATAGTTCCATAGCACTGGAGCACAGGGAACTGGGGAGGGAAGCATAGGAAGCCAGATTGAAAAGGAAGATTCAGATGGTGGAAGGCCCTGAATACCAGGTTGTGGGTTTGATTTTGTTCTGTTACCAATAGGAAATACTGGAGGGTTATAAACACCAGTAGGAGCTGTTTTGCAGGAAATCCAATCAGGCAGCAATGTGAGGTGAGGTGGAGCAGGAAGAAGGAAGGAAGGAAGAAACACCAGTTAGGGGGCTATTTCAGGAGTTCAGGAGAGGAAGGGGACCACAGTGGGGCTGTAATGGCAGGTGGGTGGGGGGCAGGCGGTGAGGGTGGAGGAAAAGACAATTGCAGAGTAATATACTGGGCCTGGCAAGTGAATGGCCTCTAGAGAGACGATTCAAAGTTAGCACTGAAGTTTCAAAGCTGGAAAGAAGGTATTATGGAGTAGCAGAGTTGTGCCTAGGGATTGTGGGTTTTGACTGATGTTGAGTTTGCAGTGTTAGTGACACATCTGAGTGATGCCCAGCAGGCAGCAGTACTGAATATTAGGAGAGTCCCTTTGTGGATAGTGTGGTCATGTTCTAGATCCCCATAGAAATTGCAGCTCATTTAGGGTAGTGACCTTGCAGATTGAGCAGAAATCTAGCAGAATAATGAGAACCTATGACAGTGTACCTCCTGAGGAAACAAACAACAGTTGCCTTATCCAGATCCTAGACAGAAGTGGGCAAGATGCTCAGTAGAGCATGAGGTGATTATTCTCTTGCTACTCATCAGTTTTTAAAATATATATATTGAAGTTATTTTTGAAGTATTACTGATTTATAATGTTTCAGGTGTACAGCAAAGTGACTCAGTTATACATACATATGTATATATACACACATATCCGTTCTTTTTCAGATTCTTTTCCATTATAGGTTATTACAGGGTATGGGACATAGTTCCCTGTGCTGTATACAGCAGGTGCTAGTTTTTAAAATCTATTTTATATAGAGTAGTGTATATCTGTTAATCCCAGACTCCTCCACAGCACTCATCACTTCTAACTGTCCATCCTTTAAGTGGCTTCACACCTTTGAGGCAGATGGTGTGTGCTTGACATTGTACCTTATATAGCTTCCAAGCATTCTAGATAAGTTTTGACTGAGAGACACACTTGGCCATGCTCTGATTGATTTGCAGTGCAAAAATGTTGCCCAAGCAATTCCATAGAGACAGAAAGTAGATCAGTGGCTGTCCGGGACTTGAAGAAGGGGAAATAGAACGTGACTTCTGAGGGGTATGGAGTTCCGTTTGGGGGTGATGAAAAAGTTCTGGAATTAGGTAGTGACAATAGATAATAGAGCTTTGTGAATATACTAAGAACCATTGAGTTGTGTACTTTAAATAGATTAATTGTAAGGCATCTGATTTATATGTCAATAAAACTTTATGTAAGGAAAAAATATTGCTGAAAAACAAGAAATATCTTTCCCTTTTCCTGATTTCTGGACTGGAAACCTTTTGTCATTTGTCTAATTTTCAGTTTAACTACTTTGACAGAGTCCTTTTGAATGGTTCTTCTGCTCATGTTACTTTCCTCTGCTTTTTCTAAAAGAAAAGCCCTGTGTAAAGCATTTCTGATGCTGTACTAGTGAAGATGCCCTGCAGGCGTGTTTTGGCGTCTGAGAAAGCCATTCAGTCTACTTGGAGAATGCAATGTATCAGTCTCTTTAAGAATTAAAGCTTTGCCAAATTAAACACGTGAATGAAAACATTCTAACCAGATTTGTGTTGACTTCTGTGTTCACACTGTAAACACACGCACACGTGCGCTTGCACACACACACACCCACACACTCACACAAAGAATTTTAAAGTATCAGAAAGCAGTGGCTTTCAAAAGTACTCTCGAGCCAACACCCTCCCTCATATGCCAGAACTCAGTTCAGAGCAAGCCTTTTTACAGCTAAGTTATAAACACTTGAAGTCCAGAGTAATCTCTATAATGGAAATACTGACACCGCTTGACTTGAGCAACACAGATGGCTCTGGCTTTTTTAGCTTAGAACATGATGAGTTTTCTAATAAGAAGCCAAGAGGCTCTTTGGGGTAGAACTGTTAAGAAATGTAGAGACTGGAGAGGAAAATCTCTCAGTGATTCCAGTTGTAAGTACTGTGCTGTGGCTGTATTCTCTTGCTACCTCTCTTCTGTAATCAGGAAAACTGCCCAACCAAATACTGCTGTGTATAAATATAGAACATAACCTTGACTTGTGACCTTCATTTTCCATAGTCCTTTACTTACTCTAGGGTCGCTGGAAGAAATTTTGCAGCATGGTGATTGCTATCTGATTATAGTCTCAGATATGAGACTGTAAGGGTGGACAAGAGACATCTGAATCTTTTAAAAAATAAGTCTACCAAAATGCTCCCCTAGTATGTCAAGATAATGAAATGGATGCACTTTAAAAGCTTTCAAGTGTTTTGGTATATCAGCTCACTTTGGTCTTTAAATCACTCTGTTCTATAGAAGAGCTGGGTGTTATTGTTCCCATTGTTATGGTCAAGGAGGTAGCGTGAATAACCTGTTAGTGGCCAGACTAGGATTAGAAAGCCATCCAAACTCATTGTTTTCCCCAGTACTTGGATGCCCAACACCTGGACTCTCACATACAAACCTCTGGCAGCATCACCAGCCCTACCCTGCTCCCCAGTGACCAGACATTTGTGTAGCTAATTGCATCTGCGATTTCATTTCTCATGGTTGATTATTGTCTTGGCAGTTGGCTTTGCCTGGGTACCTTTACTGAAGGATGGTAGAATCATCACTTTGGAGCAGCAGCTGCCAGTTTCTGCCAATCTTCCCCCAGGCTACTTGAATCTGAATGATGCAGAATCCAGAAGGGTAGGAAAATATCTGTATTTGTTGAAGAAATCATGATGAAATGTTATTTTCCCTTCTTTTAAAAAATGTTATTGAAGTATAGTTGATTTGGTGTCATGTTAATTTCTGCTGTACAGCAAAGTGATTCAGTTTTAGGTATATGATGAAATGTTTAAACAATAGAATACTGTTGGCATATTGGATGATTTGGTGTGGCTGGTAGCTACTCAGAGTGTGGTTTGAGGGCTGATACTGGTCCACAACAAAGATAAGTATGGAACATGAGTGTTGGGAAGTTTCTATCATAGTTTGACAAAGTAACCTCATGTCAGTTGATTCCAGTAACTTAAAATGGGACTCTTGGGCACAAAATGATTTTATGCATGATAAAAAAAATTCCTTTATACAGTCATTTTTATTGTCATTAGGAACAGTATCTGCTTGCAAAGGATGGGAACTTCAAAATGATTTAGGATACATTTATTCTAAAGGCAGGTTATTTTCTCCAATAATTCCCTATGTCTGAAGCTAGCACATTTGTTTCTGAGAAGAATGTTGAAATGCATATATTGCTCATCTGTCCCTTGCTATGGTACAAAAACTCACATGTATGTTTTCTGTTCCCAGCAATCGAATGTGGATATTAAGTGGGTAGATGGTGCAAAGCCTTTGTTGAAGATCAAAAGCCACTTAGAGTCTACCATTTACACTCAAGTAAGTTGCATCCCATGAATTTGTCAAACAAATTTTTTTGCCACACCATGTGGCATGTGGGACCTTAGTTCCCCAGCCAGGGATCAAACCCATTCCTCCTACTTTGGAAGTGAGGAGTCTTAACCACTGGACCATGAGGGAAGTCCCCGAATTTTGTCAATTTTAATACTTGAGTTTTTTCTTGATTAAAATAGATTATATTCATTTCTACAGCCTTAGAGAAGTTGTGGCCTGAAACACTTTCTCATTAGTAATAACATCATTTTTAATAATAGCTCAAATTTTTAAATTCTTCTCAAATGACCAAATCTCTTTATTCCCATTGACTGATTCGAGTCTTCCAAAACTCTGAAAAAAATATGGAGGCTATTATCACCATTTTTAAACCATATATATATATATTTTTGAGCTGTTTTAAATTTACAGAAAAATTATGAGGATAGTGCAGCCACCTCCCATATGCCGTATACCAAGTTTCCTCTAGTGTTAACATTTAGCATGAGTGTGACACCCTTGTTACAACTCTAGAAGCAGTATTGAGGCATAATCATTAGCTGAAGTCTGGCCTTTATTCAGATTTTCTTAGTTTTTACCTATTAGTACCCCTTTTCAGTTTCAGGATTTTATCCGGGATGGCATGTTACTTTTAGTTGTCACATTCCCTTAGGCTCTTGGCTGTGACAAGTTCCGAGTGTTTCGTTGTTTTGGGTGACCTTGTCAGTTTTCAAGTCTACTGGTACTTTGCGGATGCCCCTCTGTTGGAATTAGTCTGATGTTTTTCTTTTGGTTAGACTGGAGCTGAACACAGAAGTTGGCAGTCAGTGGATCAGGGTTAGCTACTACAGTTTGCTCTTAGACTCAGCATCCTTGAAATTAGAATCAAGTATCTGTGAGACACCTCAAGCACCGTTTGAAAAATCATGGATGGAGAAGGTGAAGTCCACGCTCCTTGGTGCAGCCCTCTCAGGTTTCCTTGGACATTCCATCCTTTTATAGGAAAAGAAACAGGGGCTCAGTCAGGTTAAAAGATTTACCCAAGGTCCCACAAATAATAATTAGAGGAAGCAGGTCAAAATATGACTTCCATTTTTTTCTTTTTAATGCCTTTTGTTAAAATTGGAGGATAATTTCTTTACATTGTTGTGATAGTTTCTGCTGTACCACAACATGAATCAGCTATGCATGCATTCTCTGTTGCTTTAGTTGTGTCCGACTCTTTGCAACTCTATGGGCTGTAGCCCACCAGGCTCCTCTGTCCATGGGATTCTCCAGGCAAGAATACTGGAGTGGGTTACCATCCCCTCCTCCAGGGGATCTTCCCAACCCAGGGATTGAACCCAAGTCTCTCACATCTTCTGCATTGTAGGTGGATTCTTTAGCAGTGGCGCCACTTGGGAAGCCTGAATCAGCTATATGTATACACATATCCCCTCCCTCTTGGACCTCCCTCTGCGCCCCCCCACCCCCACCCCAACTCTCATCCCTCTAGGTCATCACAGAACACAGAGCTGAGCTCCCTGTGCTATTACGGTAGCTTCCCACTAGCTAGCTATTTTACACATGATTGTGTATATGTGTCAATTCTTCTTTCTCAATTCATCCAGAATTTCTTGATTCTGGTTCCTGAGACAGTCTGTGCTATCCACAGATTCAGTGTCTGTAGATTTCACATAGGATATTGGACGCTGGCCACCACAGGGTCAGGTGACTCCCTTTTCTTCACCTGTCAGTTCAGACCTCTCTTCCTGCTTGTTCCATTAAAATATAGAAGCGACCCAACTTCAGAGATGACACTACTGAGAAAAGGAAACAAATGTTGGACTAGTTGGGCATAAATGGTGGCCTACCCGGTGCACTGAGATGCATGCTGAATGGGCCTGATTTGCTGTTTTTGTGTGGGTTGAGAGGCCTCTGGGACTCAAGGAGGAACACGTGTGTTGGTAGCTGTAGATGCTGAGTCGGGTCATTAGAAGACCCAGGGAAACAGGCTTGCAAGATTCCGGGTGGGAGGATGGGTGGTAGAGGTGGAGAGCCTGTGTTTTGTGGGTAATGAATCAAATTTCATATGGCTGTGTCCATCTGGTTTTCAGGATCTGCATGTGCACAAATTCTTCCAGCATTGCCAGCTGATTCAGTCAGGCTCGAAAGAAGTTCCCGGGGAGCTCATTAAATATTTAAAGGTAAATGAACAGCAGCTTTCTGTGAAAGGGTTGTTTTTCTTGTCTTTTGGTTGCCATATTTTTGATGTGGGGGGGCCAAAAATGAATTCTTGAAAATACTTTTGGCTGCAAATCCTCAAGAGAGCACATTCTACTGTCCTTTTCCATCAAGTGGCTGTTTAGAAGCACACAACAGAAGCGCGGCATTAGGAAGAAAATGTTTTAGCCAGAATTCAACAGCATAATTAAAAAAAAAAAAATCTCATGAAAATGTTTGTTTCGGGTCCATAGGTTGATTTTTCCAGGTCTCTCCTCATCTTGCTGACAGCAGGTAGAGAATGCTGTGGAGAAAAAGGAATCACTTTTACTTGGAATAATACGTGAAATGGTTCCTGGGTCCGTAGGTGAAAGAGTATCAAAGGGTCAGCTGATAAGAGAGAACCTAGTTGCTGCATGGTGCATAGGAGTCATAAGAAACGCCATATTTTATCAAAAGTATTGAGAATCCAAGACTCCATTGATGCCCTAACATGGTAGGACAAAGCACATGTCATAAGACCCAGCTGACAGTAGCTTTTCTCTTGGTTGCTCCTTCAGTAGATCAGCCATGGCTAGTCTGAGGAGTTTTTATTTTAAATGAAGTCCTCTACAGGATTTCCCTTTCAACATATGTTAATAAAGAATGATATGAAATGAACAAAAATGCTCATTTCTTTCAGAGAGGCAGTGTAAATGAGGTAACATGTGTATGGGTTCTGGAATCACAAACTGAGCTTGTACCCCAGCTCTGTCACTTGTTAGTTCTGTGATTGACCTTGACCAAGTTACTTAACTTCTCCAAGCCTTTGTTTCCTCTTCTGTCTCATAAAGATAACAGTAACACCCACTTGTACAGTGATTGTGAGGCCTCAGTGAGACAGGGCATCTGCTGTGTAGTATTCATTCCATACTTTTTTCTTGAGTACCTCCTGTGGGCCAGGCTTCATTCTAAACATGGGGAGGATAAGTGAAGAAAACAGACAATATCCCTATTTTCAAGGAGCTTACTTTATTGTGGAGACAGATGGACACTAAACAAATAAATGAATAAATATTTACATCTGCAGTCATGGTTCCAGGACCCTCCCTAGATACCAGAGATGCTCAAGTCCCTTGCAGTCAGCTCTCCATATCTGCAGATGTGAAATATGTGGAGATGGAGGGTCAACTGTGCTTCTTATGTCAGTTGGTAATAAGTACTATAAAGAAAACCAAAATAATAGGGAAGGGGAATAAGAAGTGATAAGGATCTCTTTTTTAGATTGTCAACGAGGAGCTCTCCAGTAAAGAGACCTAAAGGAAAGGAGGGTGCCAGCCATGTGGAATTCTGGGAAAGGGCTGGGAACAGCAAGTGCAGAGGCCCCGAGGAGCTTGCTTGGTGTGTTGCAGAAACAGGAGGAGTTCCAGTGTGGCTGGCACATGCAAGGATAGGCCGCCCCATTGGAAAAGATAGCTGGGTTACTGGTCCGGTAGGGCTTCATAAGCTGAGATGAGATGGGAAGCTGTGAACAAAGGAGTGTGATGTAATGTCGCTTTGGTTTTTAAAGAATCATCCTGCTTATCATACATAAAATAGATTGTTGCAAGGGTAGAATCAGGCAAGTAGCCGATAAATGGTGGCTTTTATTCTTAATTAGCATTAAGAAGTACAGTAAGTCATCTAATTTCAAGTCCTTATCTTGGGTAATGTCTAGAATCCTGCTCTATATGTGAATGCCTTGTCTGCTCAGATCCGTGGCTTTATTTTTCCACTGGGGAAGCTTTGTAAAAGTTTTAACAAAATTAAATTTCCTGTATTGATATTCTTAGAATGGAGGGGGAAGAAAGGTATTCATATTTGTGTTTTTAAGGGTGTAGAATTGCTGTTATTTCTGTGACCTATCTCACCCTCTAGTGGCAATGAATGAAATGCCATGTGATTATAGAAAGCGCCAAACTCTTGTATGGAATGTTAGTGCTAAAAGGGATCTTTAGGGATTTTTTTTTTTACAGGTGAGGACACTGAGGCCTGAGGACAGGGATTTGCCAGTGGTTATTCAGCTGGTTAGTAGGAGATCAGAGCTGAGCATGTCTTTTGATGGGTCTTTTGACTCCTAGCCGGTGTACTTTTTAATCAAACCTTGCAATCTCTTGTCCTTGTAAATGACATTGTTTAATCACTTCATCTAACCATCCACATGCTGAGCTTATTAAGTGTTCAGTATTTTCCTAGATGCTGTGTGGATGCTTCTTGCAAAGAAGAATGACTTAGGCTATTTTCCATAGGGATCTTATGACCAGTCGAGAGGGGCCCACTTAAGTCAGATGACAATATAAGTCAGTAGTACCAATGATCATCCAAAGCAATATGTAATTAAATGTCAAATGCATGATACAGGATATAAATGCTCAGAGTTCACAAAACTGTGGAACCACTGAGACTAGAGGGTTCCCATCTTTATCCCTTTGATTCCTTTGTTTATTCATTTATTCAGTCATCCCCCAAATAATTATTGAGTACCTACCATGGGACCAGATGTTATACTGGATGCTGAGAATATAATTGGAATAATTCAGACAACATACCTACTCCAGTTGGGGTAGAGAGATTATATATATAAAGAAGTCCCATTAGATAGGGATGAGTACTGTGAAGAAAATAGAACAGGTTAAAGCTCAACATTCAGAAAACTAAGATCATGTCATCCAGCCCCATCACTTCATGGCAAATAGACGGGGAAACAGTGGAAACAGTGGCTGACTTTATTTTTTGGGGCTCCAAAATCACTGCAGATGGTGATTGCAGCCATGAAATTAAAAGACGCTTACTCCTTGAAAGGAAAGTTATGACCAACCTAGACAGCTTATTAAAAAGTAGAGACATTACTTTGTCAACAGAGGTCCATCTAGTCAAGGCTATGGTTTTTCCAGTAGTCATGTATGGATGTGACAGTTGGACTATAAAGAAAGCTGAGTGCCGAAGAATAGATGCTTTTGAACTGCGGTGTTGGAGAAGACTCTTGAGAGTCCCTTGGACAGCAAGGAGATCCAACCAGTCCATCCTAAAGGAAATCAGTCCTGAGTGTTCATTGGAAGGAGTGACATTGAAGCTGAAAGTCCAATAGTTTGGCCACCTGATGCGAAGAGCTGACTCATTTGAAAAGACCCTGATGCTGGGAAAGATTGAAGGCAGGAGGAGAAGGGGATGACAGAGGATGATATGGTTAGATGGCATCACCAACTCAATGCACATGGGTATGGGTAAACTCCGGGAGTTGGTGATGGACAGGGATGCCTGGCATGCTGCGGTTCATGGGGTCGCAAAGAGTCTGACGTGACTGAGTGACTGAACTGAACTGAATGGGCTCTAATGTGACCAGGAGTGCAGTCAAGATGGAGTTGTCAGGGAAGACCTGTCTGAGGAGTTGATGACATTTCAAGCTGAAAAGAACTGATGAGGGGAAGACAGCCATAGATGATAAAACTGTGTAAACGGATGACAGACTATTGCAGCAGGTGTAAACACCTTGCAATGAGATGTGTGAAAGATAGGAAAAAAGCAAAGACAGCATAGCTGGAGCACACTGAGCAGCGAGGAGCAGGGGATGGCCCCAGATGAGTGGAGGGTGGGGAACCCTTCATAGCTTTTTGTTCATGGCAGTTGGTTTTGTTTGTAATAGAGGGAAATGGCATTGTTGAACTTGTCTTTTGAAAAGAGCCCTCTGGCTGCTCGGTAGAGAATAAATTCTGTGTAGAGAAACAGTACTGGTACAGGGAGACCACTTCTGCAAGGAAGGCCCATCTCTCTTTTTTCTACCTGATGTGATCCTCCTTAACCTTGAACCTTAGAACCTCTGTCATCTGAAGTGTGTGGCATTCCCTCCTCACTTGCAGACACAGTTGCTTCTTCTTCTGTGCGTTTACTGTGTACTGTTTACTGTTTGTGTCAGTGATTCAGTTCCATGTGTTTTCCTTCCATCGTCTGTGAGCTGCTTGATGATAGGAACCACGTCCATTTGATGTGCGTGGCAATCAGAAGTTCATTCATGTCCAACTCTTTGCAACCCCGTGGACTATATAGTCCATGGAATTCTCCAGGCCAGAATACTGGAGTGGGTAGCAGTTCCCTTCTCCAGTGGAATCTTTCCAACCCAGGTCTCCTGCATTGCAGGTGGATTCTTTACCTGCTGAGCCACAAGGGAAGCCCATTTGGTATACCTTTATTCAGTAATACTTTTATTGAATGAGTGCATGAATGACTTCACCAAAGTGGGGGGTGAACTTGACTGGGAAGGGTGGCTAGGACTTTGCTAAAAAATATGAACAAAGGCACAAAGGTAGGCATGCATTTGACAATTTCAAGGAGCAGAGCAGTGAAGACGCCAGTCTGGCCTCATGAAGAATGGTGAATGTTAAGGCTAAAAATGTAAGTTGGGTTTTAAGTAACTTAGACTTAATAGCCTGGGTCAGGTTTTCTCCAACTTGGCACTATTGGCATTTGAGGCAAGATGGGTCTTTGTGGTAAAGGACTGTCCTATGCATTGGAGGGTGCTTAGAAGCACTTCTGGCCTATCCACTAGATGTCGGTAGCACTTCCTCAGTCGTGACAACTGAAAATGTCTCTGGACATTGCTGGATGGCCTGGAGGGATGGGGTGGTGAAGGGGTCTCTGGTTGAGAACCACTGCCCTAGCTAATGGAGAGGCATCAAAAAAATTTTTGATGGTGGCAGAAAGTGGCCTGATGTAACCACTACTTGAGGAGGATTGAGTTTTGGATATGAGAGTTAAATATACTGAGGTTGAGGAGAAACTGTACATGGTCCTACTATTAATGGAAAATTACTGGACTCTTTTGGTTATAAGTTATAGCCCTGAAAAAAGGGCTATAAGGGTAGAAGAGAGGGCAAAACATTCGGAAAAACTTGAAGGAAAGACTAGAGGTTCCCTGAGCTCAGTTCCTTGCATTAGTCATCTGATTGAAGAGAAGTTTCCTGGAAATCTAAGAGGTCACTGTTGAGATGAGAGAGGCCTGAAAAGGGAGGGTGAGCATAAGGATGGAAACATGGGGCACTCTGAAAGATGAATATCGTGTTCCTTAGGATACAGACTTGTCTGACCATCTCTGTCTTTCCCAGGGCACTAAATATTGAAATGGTGTAGAAGGTGCTCAGTGAGGTGGTTTTTGGTTGGCCAGTTGACTGAGTGAGTGAATGAATGGGTGAATGAAGGAAGGAGGGAAGGAAGAAGAAAGACGTTTTACTTATTGGGTTGGCCAAGAGATCGTTCGGGTTTCTCCATAAGCTGTATAGAAAAACCCGAACGAGCTCTTTGGCCGATCCAATATTTTGCTGCTTGTATCATTTCTCTGTATACACGAATATATTTCTTCTTTCTGATGTTAATGTGCCAATCAGTAGAGGTAGAGTGTTAGTTAGCACTTTGAAGAAATGTATTGTGAGGATGTTAGAATGCAGAACTGCCTCAGTTTGTGGATGGAGTCAGTGGAAAGCCAACCATACGCAGAAATACACTTTATTGAGTCCCGTTCTCACTGCACAGTGATGGCCCACTTCCCCCTGTAAAAGATACGAATGCTGGGGCCTGGTAGGCCAGTCTCCAGTACCTCCAAACATGCCTGCTCCCCAGCCCAGTTGTTGATTTATCAAGAGTCATTTTATTCTAAAACCTGTTGATCCCAGTTATACTTGTTATCTTCAATAGAGTATTTAATATTAAAGGAACTAACAAAATCTGAGTGCCAAAATAGAGATGTGTATAAAGTAACTGACAAAGTCCCCTATCCCTGGAAGCATGTGTTTAAAGTGAGTTTATATTCTAATGAATGTATTTATCATTACTTAATTTTTGGTTGTTTCACCTTTGCAAGTTTTATCATACTTTGATTTTCATAACTAATAATGACTTATTTTAGTGTTTGCATGCCATGGAGATCCAAGTCATGATACAGTTTCTACCTGTAATTCTTATGCAACTCTTCCAAGTTCTCACAAACATGACCCATGAAGATGACGTTCCTTTCAACTGCACCATGTGAGTTTCGGTGTTACAATGTGAAGAATCAACTTTTGTTTCCTTTTGCATTTCTTCATTTGTCTTCCAAATGAGAACCCCAAAGGCAGAAACCTAATATAACTTACCTCTAGTTTCCTTCTTCTCGGACTGAGGGACTCACATCCCTAGGGATAGATGGTACCAGAAACCACAGGATAAGTTTACTGTGTTTTCCTCAACCAGGGGCTCTAAAACTGCTGCATGTTAGAGAAACCTGGGAAGCTTTTTAAAATATCTGTTCTTAGACCATACATCATACCAGTTAAACCTGAATCTCTGAGGACGGAACTCAGCATTGGTTTTTTTTTTTTTAAGTTTCCACAATGATGCCCTAATGCAATGGAATTTGAGAATCACGCCCTTGACCAGTATTGTCTGATAGAACTTTCTTCAGTCATGGAAATGTTCTATACCCGTACTGCCCAATATGGTAGCCATTAGTCACATTTAGTTGTTGAACTCTTGAAATGTGGCTGGTGTAACTGAGGATCGGAATTTTTCATAGTTAATTTTAATTTGTTTACATCACCACTTGTGACTAGCAGCTCTCCCATTGGACAGAGTGGCCCTAGGCCATTAGTTTTTACTCGAAAGAATAAGAGTGTTCTTTTTATAGGAAAACAAACAAGGATATATTGTAGAGTAGGATGCAAAATGCACTTAATTTTTGAAAATAAAACAGGGGTTTAGAAAAAATTATAAGCTCACTGCTGGGTGTTTCTGGCTTTGCTGCTCCTGCTGTTGCTACAGTGTCTCTGGGGCCTCAGGGTTCAGGCTCCACACACCCGCATGCTGCTTGCTCTTCTCTGCTATCGGGGATAGTCTGGTTGCTAATTTAAGAAGCATTATTCTAGTCCAGTGGTTCTCAAAAAATGTGATTCCCAGACCAGCAGCATCAATACACCTGGAAGCTTATTAAAAATGCTAATCATGGAACTTCACCCCAGACCTAAAAAACCAGAAACTCTAGGAGAGGGGTGAGCACTCTGCCCTCCAGGTGTTTCTGATGCATGCTGAACTTGCAGAACCACTGCTGGCTTCATAACTTTAAAACTTTCTATGAATCTTAGATTTGCTTCCAATTTTAGTTCATCTCATTATACCTGCTCTGTCTTTCCCTTCCCTTCCCCCCATCTGTTGACATGCTTAACAATTTTTCCTATTCTTTTCCTTTGATTTTTACTAGAGGGGATTTCAATATTTACCTTACCGAAGGCTTTTTACTATATGGTAGCTATGAACATACTTCAAATGTGATTTAGAAAGGAGATGAAAAGAAATATCTTGGTTGCCAAAATAAAACATCCTTCTTTGGAACCAAGAAATGTATTTTACAAAGCCCTGAACATGTTACATGCTGAAATCTTTGTTGGATCCAAACTAAGATGCCATTTAACACTTTAATTATTTAGACAGTATTAGGTATTTTTAAGGGTTAGAGATGATAGTTTTATCTAACAACCAAACTATAGTGTTTCATTGTGGTCTGACGTGCTGACTTTTGTGAATGTTGTTTCAGGGTTCTCTTACATATTGTATCAAAGTGCCATGAAGAAGGCTTGGATAATTATTTAAGATCCTTCATTAAGGTTTGTGGAATAAGCTTTCTTTCTGAGCATTTTGTCTTATGAGAGAATTTGGTCTTATGGTTCATTCTCTTTGATTGTAGTATAGCTTCCGACCTGAAAAACCCAGTGCTCCTCAGGCCCAGCTGATACATGAAACTCTTGCGACTACAATGATAGCGATATTGAAACAGTCTGCAGACTTTTTAGCAATAAACAAATTGCTAAAGGTAAGGACACAGAGACATGCTTGCTTGATAGCCTCCCATTCCAGGTCTAGTCTGTCATCATTTCCTCAAGTGACTCCCTCTTTGACCAGCACTTTGCCTATGCATCCTTTTCCCCCGAGTTCTCTACAGAAATCCTTCATTCCCTTCACCTTCCCCACCTACCCCTTGCTCTCAGTCAAATGCATAATAGAATTTTGGAGGGTATAGATCTGGGTGAGAATGCTGTTTTCATCAGTTAGCAGTTCTGAGCATTCACTTTCTCATTTCTGAAGTACAGGTAAAACATCTCACATGTTGTTTCTGGCACATAGTAGGCACTCACTCAAATGGTGGTTCTTCTTAGTGTCATAATTTTTACTATTCCTATTAGTAATGGTGTTAGTCACTCAGTCATGTCCAACTCTCTGCAACCCCATGGACTGTAGCCCTCCAGGCTGCTGTCCATGGGATTCTCCAGACCAGAATACTGCAGTGGATTGTGATTTCCTTCCCCAGGGGATCTTCCCAACCCAGGGATCAAACCTGAGTCTCCTGCATTGCAGGCAGATTCTTTACCATTTGAGCCACCAGGTATCTGCTTGAGACTTCCCTGTACCCTTCAAATTCTCCTTACACAAACACCTCTGCTACTTGGGCTGGCCCCAGTGTTGTACGAAGGGCAGGGTTGGGTCCCTCACTGGGTGCAGGCTGTAATATGATTCATTGTCCGCAAAGAATTTAAAAACAGCAATAAAGTAAACTAAAAGTTGGTTTGTTCTTATCACTACATGTAGGCAAATCAAAGCAGTGTCAGTGATAAAATACCCCACTCCACCAAATATCCTTTGTACATCACCAGCTGGCCCTGAGGCATACTATTACCTTTTTGCCAACACAATTTGAAGATATTCTATGGGACTTGGCTAGTCAGTAGCGATCACTTTAAAATGTTATTAAAGTTCAGAGACAAAATCCATAGTGATTTGTCAGCCTTTTATAAGCTTCAGGAATTTGGGTAACAATTAAAGATTGATTTGTATTTATTTGTTTATTTTAGTACTCATGGTTTTTCTTTGAAATTATTGCAAAGTCTATGGCCACATACTTGCTGGAAGAGAATAAAATTAAGGTAAGTAGGCTCAAGAATACTATTTAACGTAGACAAAGAAGGCTAATCTTATTCACGGGTCACCATGACGTGCAAATCCTCTTTTATATTTTAAGGACTCTCAGTCTGTAGCTTTTTTCAGTTTTTCTTTAAAAAAAAAAACAACAAAGGTGTTCATGTGTTTTCAAAGTCTCAACTTCAGAGGCTCACCATATAGATTCTTCCCTGTAAGATATTTGCCATATTAAGTATATTATCTTTGAAGCTTTCCCTTTGTCTTGTGGTTTTAAAATGTCAATGTCAAAAATATTCATTAGGAAGGATAACACGTACCAAATCAGAAAGAACTATTCTTTTAGAAAGATTGAAGGCATGTACAAAGTTAAAAACATTTTATGTAAAAAAAGACAAAACCCAAAATCTCTTTATGTAATGCGTGTGTTCCTGGAATATGCTGTATATATACCTTTAGTTGTATTTTCAAACTCCTTCAGAAGTACAAAGAAATTTTAGCTATAGGCATTGAAAGCTAAGACCTTGTGAAGTAAAAAATAATCACTTCATATTTACATTTTTATCAATATTTCCACAGAACAGATTTACTGAAATTAAAATGCATGGATACATGTATACTTTATGTGTCAGGAAAAAGATGGAATGAAAAATGATGTGTCTGTATCTCAGGAGCACAATTCCAAAGTTGGGTCAGAATGACCGACTCTTGTTCATGATTTCAGTCAGTTATAATATTACAGGTCCAAATAGGTGCTGTAACGATCTAAAGTATATATTTAACTAGCCATGTCTTTTTTAATCTGGGAGAAAAAGTATACTCCAGTTAAAAACACATTTACATACAGTATGTGTTTGAAAATAAAACACTGATTTAGACCTTTCACAACTCTTTTTTTTTTCTATGCCAATTTAATTGAAGCTTCCAAGAGGCCAGAGGTTTTCTGAGGCATATCATCATGTCTTACATTCACTGCTTCTTGCAATAATTCCCCACGTGACTATTCGCTATGCAGAGATTCCAGATGAGTCCAGAAATGTCAATTATAGTTTGGCTAGCTTCTTGAAGGTGAGTTAACAGCATCCAGAACATGGTAAGGAATTATTCTTCACCAGTATGGTCTTAAAGCCAAAGGAAAAAAATTACCCACTTTCTAGAGACAGCAGCTGGGCTGCTGGAGGAACTATTGGTTGAATTAATCCATAAGTTTAGTTAAATAGCCATGTTTGATTCCCCACCTCCAATGGCTAATTAATTAAATCAGAGGTCCCACACAGGAGGCTTAGCCAGGAGGAACATCTTGCTGCTTTTGCGTGCTGTTTTTCAAATATATTCATTTGAATGCCTTTAGGTGGGGCATTTACCTTCTAGGTTGCCATGGTCTGCACCACTCCTTAATAGAACCCCTGACACTCTATACATTTAAAATCATTTCTCTGACCCTGTTGGCCTTTGAGTTTGTAACTCTTGAACTAAAAGCACATTCTACACATTGCTAATATAATCGCCATCTACTTGTTGCTAATACATGTAAATGAAAATGGTTAATTTAGGCCAGTAAGATTATTTTGAGACATACCAGAAGCTGTTACACTTACGAACGATAGTACATTCTCACTGTGCTGTTTTGTCATTCTCAGTATGTAAGGGGCAATGCTGGAATGCGATGGTTCTAGAAAGTGGGTAATAGCAATATTTGCTTTATTGCAGAGAAGGGGCCTAGATTTGTAATGCACTTAGTTCTTACTTCTTTCCACTCCCCATCTTCTCAGAGCCCTTCATCCTGTCTCAACCTTATTTTAAGAACCTCGCAGTCAATAATCTAGCCAAGCAATTTTAATATCTAACATACCCTTGTTTTTTATTAAAAATTCACACTAGGTTTCAGATCTCCAGAGTGTGATTTTCTGATATAATACCTCTCTTTGCCAGAACTAAAATAAAGTTTTAATACTATTACATGAGCCCTTTTGTGTATTAAAAACCAACCACATATCTTTTTAAAATAAAGGTGAGACTATCTGAAATATAAGATCTGTTTCTTTCATGGAGTTAAAACTTGAAATTTGCTATGTTAGGGAGTAGAAAATAGTTGATTTAATAGCAGTATTGACCTCATTACAAGTCAACAAACATTTGTCTGTCTTCTATGTGAGGGTCCAGAGATGAGAGAGGCTGTCTCTGTAATTATATTCCAATACATATACATGATAAAGTGCGATGACTATTATACTGAAAATATAAACAACAAAATACAATAGGAAAACAAGAAAGGGAGGGATTATGATCAGGTAGTATGAACAGAGACTAGAAGAACAGTTCCCCAAGACAGGGATGAGAGTGTTGTAGGTAGAGGATTCATGAGCAGAGATGAGATATGTGTGTTCAAGAATTGTTTTGAGATGAGCAAGAAAGTCATTGTGCAGAATTTAGGTTGTCTGGAGGCAGAGGTGGAAAGGCCATCTGATGCCAAATGATGAAAGGCCACGAATGTCAGGCTAAGGAATCTAGATTTTGAGCTGAATACCATGGAGCTATCTACCAAAGCCTTTGAAAGAGGTGAGAAAAAAGCCGGAGTCAAGACAACCAGTTTGAAAACTAGTCCATCCCCCTTGTCTGCCTGGCAGAGTCCATTCATCTTTTAGGCTCAGCTCTTCCCTAACCCTCCCGCACAGGGCTGATCACCTCTGCTGTTGTTTACCCATCCTGTCCACACTTCTGGAACTTTTTATCATGCTGTATTTTCATTATTTATTTGTCTTTACCATTCGACAAGACTAAAGACCATGGGTTATTTATTTGCCTTTGTATTTCTCTAGAATGTAAATACATTGTCTCAAACCAAATAGATCGTCAAAATGATCTTGGATGAGTAATAAATATAAGCCTACCTCATTAATCCAGGTGAGAGGTGATGAGGCAGGGAAAGTTGAAAGGAGAGGTGACAAGATGCAAACAGCTGGTTAATCAAATATTGAGTTCCTTCTATTTCCCAGGAATGTTCTGGGTACCATGGGGAACATAAACAATGTTTTATCCACTTTAGGTGAGAATAGCAAAATAGTAAGTAAAATATAAGCTACTATAAAGTGTTTCAAGGGCCCTGTAGATTAATGAAGATGGGCTTCATTGAAGATGGGCTTCATCGAAGATGGGCTTCATCACTGAAGAATGGGCAGGATTCTGTAGAAGTAGTGATAGAATTGCTAGCTAGACCTGGTATGAGCAGTAACTCAGAAATGGGAATGCACAGTGCATCTTGAGGGGATAATAAATAGATAAAATGGGAAAAAGAAGGTTGGGACAAGACTGTGGTTTCCTTGAGTGCCAAGCTGAGGAGTTTGAAATTATATTAGAGCCAACAGGGAACTATTGGAAGCTTTTGGGAAGAAAGGTGACATGATTAGGGCTAAGACTTACAGATTAATCTGGAAGCAGTTAGATGGAAAGATTAGTGGCAGGAAGACAGGTTAGGAGGATAACCGCAGTTGTGCAGTTGCAAGGTAATGAAAGCCTTAACTAGGAGAGTGACGGCAGGAAAATATGAATAACTAGTATGGCTATCACACAAGAAGAATGTTTTGTAAGCCAAGACTTCACAGAACCTAAAGAAAAACTTCCCTTTTGGCCTGAAATGTTCACATAGGCAAGCCCCCTTTTCAATAGCCACCCTATAGTATAATAATAACCACCCTATAGTTCACTTTGAGCTTTGAGAATGAACCAAAATGAGGCAATATAGCTAAATAGTTTACATATATATATGTATATATATGCATGTATGTATTTGAATGTGTATATATGTGTGTATGTATATATATTTCAAATATTTATTATATATATAAGAAAATATATATCTTATTTTCAAAATAAGATGTATATACTGTTATTTTCAAAATAAGATGTTATATATATATATAACATCTTATTTTGAAAATAACACAGTTGAGTCCCAATTCCAATGATAAGTCATTTGCTCTTTATCTCTTTAAGGTCATGTAAATCTTTGAAAGTTTTTCTGTTATCTATAAAAGGGAGAATGTCATCCCCTTAATGTGAAAAAAATTTAAAATGTGTTGAATTTTGAAAACTTGACAGACTTAGAATTAGGTAACTAACTGTTCATTTTGATTTGGTTCCTATAGCGCTGTCTGACCCTAATGGATAGAGGATTTGTTTTCAATTTGATAAATGACTATATATCTGGATTCAGCCCCAAAGATCCTAAGGTAAGTTACAAGGTCATAACTATAGTGGGTGTCAAACATTAGAGTGTGAGACCAAGGGTGACATGTATTCTCCTCTGGAGGATTTGGAGCTGCTGTTTTCTTGTAGGTACTTTGAGTGTAGTTGAACCTCAAAGCAGAGAATAATGGATAGGGTTTTGAGGGTCCCACATAGTCATAGTCATGGCTAAGATTCATTACAGTGACACAGTAAGGATGCTCAGCTGGATCAATAGGGGGAAAGACATTAAGTGGAGTCCTTGGCAATCTCTGTGCAGGCTTCCTGAGCACCCTCCCTCCTGTTAAGGGGCACACAGAGCACATCCTCTCTCCAGCAGTGAAAATTGAGCCACATTGTGTGCAGTATTTCTCTTTAGGGAAGCCCGTTTGAGACTCAGAACTTAGGATTTTTGTTGGGGCTAGTTATGTATTGGAGGCTGGTCATAATTCCAGAGTCTTGTAAAGGAAAGACAGGGAAGCAGATGTTCACCATAAATCACGTTGTTTGTTGGGTGCTGAACAGGCTGGCACAGAAGGTACAACCTTACCTTGTAGGGAATGTTGGTATCAAGATCAAATTTCCCACACCACAAAAAAGAAAATCATATGCCAATATCCTTAATGAACATGGAAAAATCCTCAACAAAATATTAGCAAGTTGAATGCAATAATACATTAAAAGTATGACACAACACGGTCAAGTTGGATTTATTTCAGGGATACAATGATGGTTCATCATCCGCAAATCAACCTGATTCATCACATTAATGAAATGAAGGGTGAAAATAATACGATCATCTTAATAGATGTAATGTGTGTGTTCCTGGAATATGCTATATATATACACCTTTAGTTGTATTTTCAAACTCCTTCAGAAGTACAAAGAAATTTAGATGCTTAACACTTTTGACAAAATTTGACATCCATTTATGATAAGAGACTCTCTCAACAATGGGTCTAGAGGGAACATACCTCAACATAATAAAGTCAATATATGATAAACCCACAGCTAGCATCATATTCAACAGTGAAAAACAGCTCTTTTCCTCTGAGATCAGGAATAAGACAAGCATGCCCATTCTCACCATTTTTATTCAACATGGTATTGGAAGTGCTAGCCACTGAAATTAGTCAAGAAAAAGAATGAGAGGGCATTCAAATTGGAAAGGAGGAAGTAAAACTGTCACAGTTGCAGATGATGTGATAATATATATTGAAAACCCTAAAGACTACACCAAAACTCTGTTCAAACTAATAAATGATTCAGTAATGTTGTATGATACAAAATCAGCATACAGAAATCTGTGATGTTTCTATATACTAATAACAAACTACCAACAAAATTAAGAAAACAATTCCATTTACAGTTGCATCCAAAACAATAAAATACCTAGGAATAAATTTAACCAAGGAGGTGAAAGACCTGTACGCTGAAACTACAAGACATTTATGAAAGAAACTGAAGAAGTCACAAATAAATGGAAATATTCCATATTCTTGGATTGGATGAATTAATATTGTTAAAATGCTCATACTACCCAAAGAGGTTTACGGATTCAGTGTATTCCCTATCAAAATTCCAGTGGCATATTTCACAGAGCTATTAATAGAACAAATAATTCTAAAATTGGTATGAAACCACAAAAGATGCTGAATGGTCAAAAATAGGAAGCACAAAACTAGAGGTTTCATGCTCACTGATTTCAAGCTATACTAAAGATATATTAATCAAGACAGCATGGTACTGGCATAAAAACAGATACACAGATCAACAGAACAATACTGAGAACCCAGAGATAGACCTACACATATGCATGTGCTAAGTCGCTCACTCGTGTCCGACTCTTTGCAACCCCATGGACTGTAGCCCCCCGGGCTCCTCTGTCCATGGGCATTCCCCAGGCAAAAATACTAGAGTGGGTTGCCATGCCCTTCTCCAGAGGATCTTTCCAACCCAGGGATTGAACCCAGGTCTCCTGCATTGCAGGCAGATTCTTTACCATCTGAGCCACCAGGAAAGCCATACCCACACATATACAACAAAGGAGCGAAGAACATACAATGGAGGAAGAGTCTCTTCAATAAATGACGTTGGGAAAACTGGACAGCCACATGCAAAAGAATGAAACTACACCATTATCTTATATCATAAAGAAAAATTAACTCAAAATGCAGTAAAGAAAAAAAAATGCAGTAAAGACCTGAATGTAAGACCTGAAATCATAAAATTTCTACAAGAAAATGTAGGTAGTAGCCTCACTGACATCCATCTTAGAGGTGTTTTTGTGGATCTGACTCCAAAGGCAAGGGAAATAAAAGCAAAAATAAGCAAATGGGACTACATCAAACCAAAAAACTTCCACACAGTGATGGAAATCATCAAAAGGAAAGGGCAGCCTACTGAATAGGAGAAGATATTTGCAAATCATATATCTATTATGGAATAATACAACTCAACAACAAAAACCACCTAATTTAAAAATGAGAAGAAGATCTGAATAGACATTTTTCTAAAGAAGGCATAAAGATGGCCAACAGCACTTGGAAAGATGTTCGACATCACTGATCATTAGGGAAATGCAAATCAAAATGCTATCTCACAATGAGATAGCACCTCACAAACTGTTAGAATAGCTATTATTGAAAAGAAGAAAGAAATGTTGGAGAGGATGTGGAAAAATTGGAACCCTTGTACCCTGTGGGACTGTTAATTGGCGCAGCCACAATGGAAAACAGTATGGAGATTCCTGAAAAATTAAGAATAGAACTACTATATGACCCAACTTTCCCACTTCTGGGTATCTATTCAAAGAACATGAAAACACTAATTCAAAATTATATGCACCCCTATGTTTATTTTACTGTGGCATTATTTATAGTAGCCAAGATATGGAAGTAGCCTAAATGTCCATCAGTGGATATGTGTATAACAGAATACTACTCAGATGTAAAAAGAATGGAATCCTGCCATTTTACAGTGTGGACAGACCTTAGAGGTATTATGCTAAGTGAAATAACTCAGACAAATACCATATGATTTCACTCATATGTGGAGTCTAAAAAAAGAAGTGAATGAAAAAAACAAAAACAAACTCATAGATACCGAGAACAGATTAGTGGTTACCAGAAGGTAAGAGTTTGGGGGGGGTGGGCATAATGGTGAAGGAGGTGTGAACTGTTCAGTGATGATGGATGGTGACTAGGCTTGTGGTGGTGATCACATTGTACTGTATACAGATGTCAAATTATGATGTTGTGTATCTGAAACTTACATAATTAAAAAAAATCCAATTTCCCAATTGCCTGCCAATGACCAACCGTACAAGCAGGCCTTTTTAAGGAGAGCAGTCTTGAGCCTGCAATGTTGACTCTTTACTGCACAGGTCACATTTCAAGGTATACCTAAAATACTAAACACTTCTGTTTTGAAAATTAATGCTTTGTATTTAATTATTTTAGAATGTGTGTGCTCAGTTGCTCAGTCATGTCCATCTCTTTGCAATCCTATGAACTATAGTCCACCAGGCTCCTCTGTCCATGGGATTCTCCAGACAAGAATCCTGGAGTGGGTTGCCATTTCCTCCTCCAGGGGATCTTTCCAATCCAGGGATCGAACTCATGTCTCTTGTGTCTCCTGCTTTGGCAGGCAGGTTCTTTACCACTAGTGCCACCTGGGAAGCCCATTAAAATTTAATATTTCAAATTATTAAAATAGTAAATGCCTACTCTATAGGAGTTTATGTATAATTTCTTTGTGCTTAGGTTCTGGCTGAATACAAGTTTGAATTTCTGCAAACAATTTGCAATCATGAACATTACATTCCTCTGAATTTGCCAATGGCTTTTGCCAAACCTAAACTTCAGCGAGTTCAAGGTACGTATTTGTGTTTTCCATCTTTTGGAATTGTGTTTTCATTTTTTTTTTTTCGCTAGTGCTAGTATAGTATAATATTTTCGAGTTAAACCAGTGATTCTGGAGGTAATCTCAGAATTGTTGCTATCTGAAGAACATTAACAGTTCGTTACTGGTACTCTGCATTTCCTTCATAGTGTCAGTGGTTGTATTCATAGTGTGAAGAAATTCGGTGTGTTACATAGATTGCTGCTTAAACACAGACATAAGATACTAATAAAATTGCTCTCTGTAGTACTGTTTGGATTCTTAGATGAGACTGAATTTTGAAAAAGACATATAAATGCATTTCTGCTGAATGGAACCTCAAAAGAGAATTATAAAAGCAGAATAAAATAGTTATATGTATGTATTAAATTTATGAAATGCCTTCAATTATCTCCATTGCTAGCTTTATTGAATGCTTTGTTGTGTAGCACTATTCTTATGTTACTATGTTTTTTATTTGTCCCTTTTCTTTTCATATATTAATTAGATTTTTTTTCATTTGCGGTGGACCGTTTGACTTCAGTAGGTAGGTTTAACTCGGTTCACTCTAAAGTAGTTTGCTGTTTTTAAAAACAATTGATTTCATGAATGGCTAAGATGGACGGGGGCCTGGTTTGCTTTTCAAATCCTCCCTAGCCAAGATGAGGCTTTATTTAATGCATCCAGAAAACCTAGGAGGCAGTGTATTTGATAACTCTGAAAACCAGCTTGAGTAATATTCCAGTGTATATATATACACTATATATATATATACACAGTGTATATATATATACACTGTATACATATATCAATACACACTATTGATACTATGTGTAAGACAGATAATGAATGAGAACCTACTGTGTAGCCCAGGGAACACTGCTCAGTGCTCTGTGGCCACCTAAATGGGAAGGAAATCCGAAACAGGGGCTATGTGTATACCTATAGCTGATTCACTCTGGTGTACAGCAGAAACTAACACAACATTGTAATGCAACCTATGCTCCAATAAAATTATTTTTTTTTGAAAAAAGGAAAAAAATAAGCTTCAATGTTGATTGCTAGAAGCATCAACTTGAAAACACCATCCTCAGAAAACATGTTTTGGCCCACAGCAGCTTGGGGACTGATGGGTATCTTTTTTTTTTAAGTGTATGTCATCTCTCCCAAGCTCACCTCTGTTCTCTCTGACCCTGTTTAATGACTTCTTGGCCACAGTTTTTAAGGTGTGGATGAAACTACCTTATTGGTTTTATTCAAATTCCTCAAGTGAAAAAAACCTTACTGCCATTGTACAGTAGACCCAGATAAGACAACCTGAGTTAGTCTGTACTGACCCTTGTGCATAGAAAGTGATTGTGATTCACAAAAGACTATGACCAATGGCAGAAAGAACATCAGCCGTCTTGGTCTCTAAGGGAGTAGAGTGGTTTTAGTGATTGAATGGCTGCCAGTGAAAATGGAGAAAAATATTTAAAAACCCAACCACCCCTATTCAACCATTCCCTTATTATAATAGAGTCTGAGCATGTATAGCTCAGATACTTCCCCCATCATTTATTGACAGCTTGAGGAATTCAGGGAAAGGAAGGGGTGAGGATTTAGGATTAAATCTGATTTAGCATTTATTAAATCCTAGTTGAATATATAGCATCCTATTAAGTTTTAAAGAGACTGGAAAAGAAACAAAACATATCCTTCAGCTTTGTGGCCTCACTAAAATTAAAGGGTAGGAGAAAGGAAATAAAGATAGCAGCAGTTTCCTGTAGAAATGATGGTACTTGATCACAATTCCTTCTGAGTAGTTAATAAGGCAAGTCCCAACCAGGATATTAGCAACTGGGATTTAAAGTGGATGGAGGATCTGAAAGGAAGTGAAGAAAATAGCTGGAAATGGTAATTTTATGAAATAAAAGATTTGTGTTTGTGTAATGAATTTGAGTGAGATGAGGATGTTTTTCTTACCATTCTTGTACCCCATTGTATTGGGGCCAATATGTAACATTTAGTAAAACATTTGGTAGTTTATACTGCTATAACGATGCAATTGTCTAGTTTATCTTTCTGCTTCACAAATATAAACAGATGAGTGAATCAAGTGTTGTTTAGAATTACTCCATTTTTTAGTTGTAACTAAATCTCTTCAGATAGGAAGAAATGTGTTAAAACATTGCCAAATCTGGTATTCTTTCATTCTAGGTTTTATCCTAAGATTTGAAAAGCGTCTAGAAAAAAAAAGAATTCTAGGAACTACTTTACCAACTGAAATTGTCATTAAGGCTATCATCTGGCCCCAATGATGAGTGCTTGTATCTTGTAAAATTTTGCATGCTTATTATATATGATAAAAGAATTGTTCATATTTGTTTATAATAAAAATATAGCTCTTGCTAGCATGATCACATATTACTAAGTAATATAGTACTTAATGTTAAAGTGATTTCTGAATATTTTTATAAATGAGTTTTAAATTTCATTGTACTGCAGATTCAAATCTTGAATACAGTTTATCAGATGAGTATTGCAAGCATCACTTCTTGGTTGGTCTGCTTCTGAGGGAAACCTCCATTGCTCTTCAAGACAATTATGAGATCAGATATACAGCTATCTCTGTCATAAAGAATCTTTTGATAAAACATGCATTTGACACTAGATACCAGCACAAGGTAAGGATGTTTGTATCATCACCAGTATCACATTAGCTAATTTCTGTAAGATTTTACATTGAAAATGAAGTTTTCTGTAAGAAACATAACATGAGCATTGAGTAATTTATTTTTACAAATAATGTATTGTTTCTGTTTCAAATGATTATTGTTGTTTAGTCACTAAATTGCCAGGCTCCTGTCTGTGGGATTTCCCAGGCAAAAATACTGGAGTGAGTTGACATTTCCTTCTTCAGGGGATCTTCCCCACCCAGAGATTGAACCCACATCTTCTGCATTAGCAGGCAGATTCTTTACTGCAGAACCATCAGGAAAGCCCTTAGGTTTTAAAAATACTGTTCAGTTAACTGTTAAAGAAAAACATTGGGTTTTCAAATCATGTCTAAAGAACGACATAACTCTTTCATGATTTGTTATATAAACTGATTAGAATTTTTAAAAAAACATGGTTATAATCCTGTGCATTCTTTTAAATACCCATATATCCTTAAATATATCTCCCTAAATAAATGCTATTATTATTGATTAATAATAAGACATATTAAATATGTCAAATATAAAATATATAATATGAAGTTTATCTTCTTACTGAAAAAAAATGCATGGCTATAAATCTTATATATACTACACAGTGTCTACATGTAAAGCCACAGCTGTAGCCGCTGTTTGCTACACCTTTAACATATATGAGGATAAAGGGTATATTCAAGTCTTATTAAACCCTATGGGTTGCAAAAATAGATGGCAAATTGTATTGAATTTAGAATAACCTAACTTACTTATGAAGGCAAAATGGTTGTCTGAGGAGGCCTTACAAATAGCTATGAAAAGAAAAGAAGTGAAAGGCAAAGGAGAACAGGAAAGATATACCCATTTGAACGCAGAGTTCCAAAGAATAAAAGGGAGAGATGAGAAAGTCTTCCTCAGCGATCAATGCAAAGAAATAGAGGAAAACAATAGAATGGAAAGACTAGAGATCTCTTCAAGAAAATTAGAGATACCAAGGGAACATTTCATGTAAAGATGGGCTGAATAAAGGACAGAAACGGTATGGACCTAACAGAAGCAGAAGATATTAAGAAGAGGTGGCAAGAATACACAGAAGAACTGTACAAAAAAGATCTTCACGACCCAGATAACCATGATGGTATGATCACTCACCTAGAACCAGACATCCTGGAATGCGAAGTCAAGTGGGCCTTAGGAAGCATCACTACCAACAAAGCTAGTGGAGGTGATGGAATTCCAGTTGAGCTATTTCAAATCCTGAAAGATGATGCTGTGAAAGTGCTGCACTCAATATGCCAGCAAATTTGGAAAACTCAGCAGTGGCCACAGGACTGGAAAAGGTCAGTTTTCATTCCAACCCCAAAGAAAGGCAATGCCAAAGAATGCTCAAACTACCGCACCATTGCACTCATCTCACATGCTAGCAAAGTAATGCTCAAAATTCTCCAAGCCAGGCTTCAACAGTACGTGAACTGTGAACTTCCAGATGTTCAAGCTGTATTTAGAAAAAGCAGAGGAACCAGAGATCAAATTGCAAACATCCCTTGGATCATCAAAAAGCAAGAGAGTTCCAGAAAAACATCTATTTCTGCTTTATTGACTATGCCAAAGCCTTTGACTGTGTGGATCACAACAAACTGTGGAAAATTCTTAAAGAGATGGGAATACCAGACCACCTGACCTGCCTCCTGGGAAATCTGTATGCAGGTCAAGAGGCAACAGTTAGAACTGGACATGGAACAACAGACCAGTTCCAAATAGGAAAAGGAGTACATCAAGGCTGTATATTGCCACCCTGCTTATTTAACTTACATGCAGAATCCAGCAGAGAAATGCTGGACTGGATGAAGCACAAGCTGGAAGCAAGATTGCCAGGAGAAATATCAATAACCTCAGATAAGCAGATGACACCACAGTGAGGGCAGAAAATGAAGAAGAACTAAAGAGCCTCTTGATTAAAGTGAAAGAGGAGAGCGATAAAGTTGGCTTAAAACTCAACGTTCAGAAAACTAGGATTGTGGCATCTGGTCCCATCACTTCATGGCAAATAGATGGGGAAACAGTGGAAACAGTGGCTGACTTTAGGTTTTGGGGCTCCAAAATCACTACAGATGGTGACTGCAGCCATGAAATTATAAGACGCTTGCTCCTTGGAAGGAAAGTTATGACCAACCTAGACAGTTTATTAAAAAGCAGAGACATTACTTTGCCAACAAAGGTCTGTCCGGTCAAGGCTGTGGTTTTTCCAGTAGTCATGTATGGATGTGAGAGTTGGACTGTGAAGAAAGCTGAGAGCCAAAGAATTGATGCTTCTGAACTGTGGTGTTGGAGAAGACTCTTCAGAGTCCCTTGGACTGCAAGGAGATCCAACCAATCCATCCTAAAGGAAATCAGTCCTGAGTGTTCATTGGAAGGACTGATGCTGAAGCTGAAAGTCCAATACTTTGGCCACCTGATGCCAAGAACTGACTCATTTGCGAAGACCCTGATGCTGGGAAAGATTGAAGGTGGGAGAAGAGGACGACAGAGGATGAGATGGTTGGATGGCATCACTGACTCGATGGACATGAGTTTGAGTAAACTCCGGGAGTTAGTGATGGACAAGGAGGCCTGCTGTGCTGCGGTTCATGGGGTTACAGAGTCGGACACGACTGAGTGACTGAATTGACTGACTGAAGTTACTTACTTGGTACTAGATGGCTCAAGGTAATATCATATTGTTTCATAATAATTTGTTCCTTTCTTTTTACTTTCAAATTTAAATAAAGTCATCATGTCATTTATTTTGTGATTACTTTGGAAAGCTGACTTGGAGATGGATTTTATTCTTTTCCTATAGTATTCCCATTTGTCCTTAAAAAAAAGAAAGGAATATTCAGCCTGCCAGCTATATCCAATTGTATTTCTTTAATTACAAAGATTTGTTTTACTTGCAAATTTTGCCAGTTTTTTTCATGTAATTCTAGCCTAAACTAGATTTAAATGCCTTAGCTTTAAGATGTTGTTATGTACTGTGGTTTGCATTGTTTTTTCACATTATAATAACATACTAATATTTAGTGTGGTCTGCTCTATTATGTATCGCTTTGTTTTTTGTGAATGTTGGTGTTGACTTAACGTAAATTAACCAGTATAATGTATCAAATGAAAAGATATCTTAAAGTCTTCCATTCCAACCAAGCTTTGTCAAATCTTTAAAAGTGCCAGTTACCACTGGAGTCTGTTTTTGCCTACTAGTAGTGGGGAAAAGGGTCTTATGCAATGTGAAGGAAAATGTCTTTAGCTATGATTTCAAAAAATTTGTGGGTAAAGTACAAAATGAACTTCCTGTTCTTGAAGCAGGAAGTTGTCTTTTTTCCCTTTGTGTCTTCAGAGGAAAGTGAAAGACAATGTAATTTCACTAGTGTCTTACTTAGAGGTAGAATTTTAAATATTTTATGTCACATATTTGCACATTATTAACTTTTTAAAATTCTTAGAAAAGTATATGTACACACATGTACACACATACCATTATTGTTATCTGTAAATAACACCTCCTGTTTGAGTATTTGATGTTTTATAGTTTCTGGCCTTACATTTCGGTCTTTAATCCATTTTGAGTTTATTTTTGTATCTGGTGTTAGGAAGTGTTCTAATTTCATTCTTTTGCATGTAGCTGTCCAGTTTTTCCCAGCACCACTTATTGAATAGGCTGTCTTTTCTCCATTGTATATTCTTGCCTCCTTTGTCAAAGATAAGGTGCCCACAGATGCATGGGTTTTCTTTGAGGTTTTAGACTATGGGAAACATTGAAATACCCACCACATTACCTTTTCAGGGATTTCTAAAGCCCCTTCTTTGTTCAAAATCTTCTGACAGGTTTTAATTGAGTATAGGGTTCTCCCCAATAAAACTTTGTTTCATGGGCCCGCTCAACCAGAGCTTCAATTCCTTTCTCTGTTTGATCCAAAGAGCTCACAGGTGGCCTGAGTAAGAGGTCATTTGTCAAATACATTCACTTAAAACATGTTCACCATTAAGAATGATGCCAAGGTGAGGGCAGAGAGGGGAGCTTTATACCCCCATAATTTCCATCTGACTTCCCAAATAAAAATACAGTCAAGATAAAATGCTTCCTGTGGAAAGGCTGCTTCGAGACTACTTGTCCTAGTATCCCACCCAGGCCTGCATTCCAGCCATGTTGCCACTCCTCCGCCTTTCTTCTAATGACATTATGGAGATGTCACTGGTCCCTGTTACATGCTACTCTTAAACTGCTTTGGGAGCTCTCCTTATTTGCTACACATAGCATGAGATATCTTTCCTGCTCAGAACCAGAATGTTCAAAATCTAACATTTATTCTGGGGCCTATATCAGTTCCTGTACTCACTGCAAATGGTACTGACAACTGAAGAATTGCAATTTCTACTCGGACTGTTGGCATTTTTTTCCCTTTTTTAAAATAATAACCTACATACATGGTAAAAAAAAAATCAAAATGCCTCTCTCTCATTCCTTACCTCCATGCCTCAATTCTTCTCTCTGGAAGCAACTACTGTTTCTCAGTTTCCTATATAAATTTCTATTTTATTCATGCACAAGCCTATACACACACACACATATAAAATATAAACCATTATGTATTTTTATTTTTTCACTTAACAATATATTCTGAAGATTAGATCTGTATTTTTAAAAAATCTGCATAGTATGCTATTATATGAATCCATCTTATTTTGTTTATCTAACCTGTCTTCTATTAATAGATTCTTAGATGGTTTTCTGTCTTTTGTGCAGACAAAACTTTTGATGTGTTTGCCCTGACTGCATGTGTTTTACCTGTGTTCCTGTTCACCTAAGAAGGGTGTAGTATCTCCTTCCCTAGTAATCACTCACTATCTGAACTGAAATGAAATCCCATCTAGAAGCTATAATATTAATAATCATAGCTAAAATTTATTGAGAACTCAGTATATGCCAGACACTATGTTAAATATTAGCTCATATGAATTTATATTACTGTTACTATCCTCATTTTAGTAAAGAGAAAGCTATGGTTAAGTGATTTGACCACAATCAAGCCACTAGTAACAGGAGGGCTGGAATTCATGTGTATCTAAAATTCAAAATCTGTGCTCCTAGACTATACTGCCTCTCAAATATTAAGTCAGTTCAGTTCAGTTTTTCAGTCATGTCTGACTCTTTGCGACACCATGAACTGCAGCATGCCAGGCCTCCCTGTCCATCACGAACTCCTGGAGTTTACTCAAAATCATGTCCATTGAGTCAATGATTCCATCTAACCATCTCATCCTCTGTCGTCCCCTTCTCCTCCTACCTTCAATCTTTCCCAGCATCAGGGTCTTCGCAAATGAGTCAGTTCTTGGCATCAGATGGCCAAAGTATTGGACTTTCAGCTTCAGCATCAGTCCTTCCAATGAACACTCAGGACTGATTTCCTTTAGGATGGACTGGTTGGATATCCTTGTAGTCCAAGGGACTCTGAAGAGTCTTCTCCAACACCACAGTTCAAAAGCATCAGTTCTTTGGCGCTCAGCTTTCTTTATAGTCCAACTCTCACATCCATACCTGACTACTGGAAAAGCCATAGTAGGACACTGGAAAATTAGAGAACTGCTGAAAAATGGTGATGATGATGGTAGAAACTCTTGAAACCAAAGTCATATGAAAAATAAAATAATAACAGCTATTTAGCTTTGTGAAGAGTGAATTAAGACAATTCGTGATGTGTCCCCAGATATTTAAAGAGTTGCTGTATAAAGTAGAAGTGGAGTTACTCTTTGTAGATCCAAAGGGCCGAATATATCTAGCAGGTAGAACAGTTTAAGGACTTTTCTAACAGAACCTTTGAAAGTGCTGAAGTGTTTAAGAAGTTTAAAAACTAATCATCTGTCAAAGATGCAGGTGCAGGTTGCTCTTGTCTTGAGCAGGAAGTTGAACTAGATCAGTGGTTCTCAAACCTCTGTGCACAACCATCTAGGGAAAATTCCTGGGACCCAGCCCAGACCTACTGAATCAGAATCTCTTAGTGATATAGACATTCTTGATTAGGGTTATATGTTAGAACATATATGTTATATATTAAGAACTCCTGAAATTCACAAGAGAAGTACAAATGGCCGATTAACATATGAAAAATTGTTCATTTTCAAGAATAAATGCAAATTAAAGTAACTAAGTGATACTTTAGGTCTGAATTCTGTTGGTTAACCATTGTACCCTAGATGCCTTATGTAAGTCTCCCAAAGTGCTGAGATATGGAGGGCAGCTCATGTGCCATCACCACTGTTTTTGATGATTTGAATGATTATAAATATCTGACAAGAACTGTCTATAGCTGAGAAAAGCAGTACATAAATTAGTATAAGAGGTACCACATTAATTAAGACTACCAGTGTCCAGGTTTACTTGGATATTTACAAAGATATCGATCTCCCATGTTGTATAATTGATTTAGAGGGCCAAGATCACATTATTTTAATTGCAACTTGACTCAAAGTAAAACTTATTTTTGGAAGGAATATTTTTTAACTTCTTCCATCTATTCATTCATTCAGTTAATGTGTAGTGACCATATCCTATGTGCCTAGGCACAGAGGATGAAGCAGTGAACAAGACAGACGTGATTCCTGCTTTTATCATACTCAGCCCTCACTGAAGTTAAAGGAGAGGACTAATATGATCTGCTTTATAAGTCAACTGCTATTTAAAAAAATAAACTTTTGCCTTTTATGTAGTGATGTTTGAGGGATGTGATTTGACTATATTGTATATAAATCCAAATACCAACAAAGTTCTCTGGTAATTAGTTTTGAGACTATGAGTATAAATAGACTCATGCTTCATTGATCGTTATGGATATTAGCTCACTTTTAGTCTTTAAACAGATAGATGGAGCCAACTTTTATTTGTAATATATACATATTAAATATCTATTAAACTTTTGATAATTATTTTGCAGAACCAACAAGCCAAAATAGCACAGTTGTACCTCCCATTTGTTGGACTGCTTTTGGAAAATATACAGCGATTAGCAGGTCGAGATACATTGTATTCTTGTGCAGCCATGCCTAATTCTGTAAGTAGTCATGTGTTTCTGTTGGCATTTTATCCTGTTTTATTGACTGCATTTGGAATTAGAGTCATATGCTGTATGGTCTCAATAGTTCACCTTTTACAACATTTTAAATGTATACTTTGTCCTGTAGCAGTACTTCTCAAATCTTAATGTGCATATAGATCATCTGGGGAATTAAGACAAATTCTAATGTAGTAGCCCTGGGGTGGGATTTGAGATTATACGTTTCAAACAAACTTTTGGCTCTTTCTGGTCTAAGGACCACACTTTGAGTAATGAGGTCCAAGGGAACACCAAGAATCCCTTGTGCTCAGTGTGTTGTTTTTAAGATTTGCTGCTGTTATATGCCTTCATCTATTTATTCGACTGGAAAATTGAACAAAACATTCACTTTCCAAAATGTTAGGCTCCAGGGATTAAACTATATTCCTTCACTTCTCCCTCCCTTTGACAGCCTTGTTTCAGCACTTCTGGTGAGTGGCTTTTAACCCATCATGTTTAGTCTGTGTTTTCTTTCTTCCCTTAGAATCTTAGAGTTGCAAGGAACATTGGAGATGATCAGTCTCCCACTTGGCAAAAACAACCTTTTGCCATAGTTGTATTTAAAACTTTCCTTCTTGCATTTGATCTACACGATTTTCTATCTACTTGTCCTGGTTTTGCCTTCTAGAGGTACACAGAGCACATCCACTTCTACCTCCACACAATACCCCTTCATACATGTCCCTTCTAAATTTTTCTTCAAACCAGCTAGCTCCACTTCATCATTTGTTGTTTCAAACCCTTTACATTCTCGGTTACAACCTTCCAGACATGCTCCATTTGACCAGTCACCATTTTAAAATGTGGTGTATACTTTAGAGTTTGCCCAGTAGGGTGAATAACTCCTGCCCTACCCCCACTCCATGCTTTGTATGGCCAGAGGTCCCCATCACATGTTCAGTAGCTGAGTGGGTGGCAGGTAAAACTGTTCCTCACAGCTTCCTTTGGAAATTCCCCATAATAAATGTCTCCAGATTTGTCAAGCCTGCCCTGGGTTCCTGAGAAAGCTGCTTTTAAGCCTCACTGAGGGCTTGATTGCCTATAGCTTCCAATTATGTAAATCAGCTAAATGCAGATGCTGCATCACCTACCTGGTGTCAAGCGAGTGTCAAGCGAGCCTTTCTTCACAGTCACTCATGCTTATGCTCACTCCACAACATTCGACAGTGATATGTGGAAATATTTTACTTAACTGTTCTTTCTTTTGCAGCTCAAGTTCATGTAGGGCCTCTGGTCACACCTCTCCTTCTAGTACTGCCTTTGGTTCAAGGAGGAGAATGGAACCATGTTCAGACCACACGAGTTGCAGCTTTTACCAGCCACCTAGAGTTGTATCACTTTGCCAGAGGTCATAGTTATAACAGTATACTTGGATCCATTTTTAAAAGAGAAGTCACCTAAATACCAGTACTGATACCTGATTTAGACTTTCACAGTGAGCTTTGTTTAAAATTGGGGTACCCTTTCATTCTGTTAATTCCGATTTCTTATCCTAGTGTACAAATTTGTTTAAGTTACAGAGATATCACATTGTGTTACAGGCATCCAGGGATGAGTTTGCATGTGGCTTCACTTCACCTACAAATAGAGGGAGTCTGAGCACTGACAAAGACACTGGTAATTAAGTCCTTCCTTTAAAGATTATACATGGTATGGCTGTCTAGAAATGTACCCTATACTTCTCTATATTTTTTGAAATATTTCGTGATAAAAACTATATCTAGCATGATCTCTACTAAAGTTTAATTAAAATCTGACTCACACTTGGTAGCCATGTTTCTTTGCTTAGGTTTCCTTGTCTCAGCTTGTATAAAAAAGTAGCTTAGTATACTAAGAAAATGGAGGCTAATGAGAAAAACACTAGTTTCCAATCCTCTTATCTGTCTCCAGTCTTGGACAAGACACTTCCCTTTTCTGGGCCAAAGTTTCCTTATCTATAAAATTATCTCTCATTGTTTGCCTTTATTTTATGACTTCCAAGGAATTTCTTGTAGTTTCATCATGTTAAAAGTGTTTCGAGGTGGAAAAAAAATCGCTTACACTTTATTTGGCTTCCTATGGTGATTTAATATAGTACATAAAATTCACATTTTAGATGACCAAGATCTATTTCTTAAAATATGACTTTACCAAAATTAACCTGGTGCCGAGCCACTTCAGTCTTGTCCAATTCTCTGTGACCCTGTGGACTGGTAGCCTGCCAGGCTCCTCTGTCCTTCTCTCTCCAGTCAAGAATACCGGAGTGGGCTGCCATGCCCTGTTCCTGGAGATATTCCCAGGGATCCAACTTGCATCTCTTATGCCTCCTGCATTGGCAGGCAGGTTTTTAACACTAGCACCACCTGGGAAGCCCAATTAACCCAAACTATTTTTATAATAATCCAACTTATTTTTCAGACTATTTTTGACAGTTCCTCCTGTTGCTAACAAGGACTTGGCTTTTTCCAGCTTATGGGTCTTTTCAAAATGGACATGGAATTAAGAGGGAAGATTCAAGAGGTTCACTCATCCCAGAAGGAGCAACTGGATTTCCAGATCAGGGGAGCACTGGTGAAAATGTAAGACCCTAAAATATATAGGTTAACCCTGGTGATGTTTTAACTATGACAGTATTTCTTTTTATGTAAAGAAGGAGCTCTCTACTCTCCTGTAGTCTATACTGTATAGAGGATAAGGTATTCATCTTTCTGAGTTCGAACTTTGAATCTGTAAACCTGTTCTTGAGAGGGAAGGTTCAAGTTTAAAACGCCTAAAGGGAACCCTCTTACACTGTTGGTGGGAATGCAGACTAGTACAGCCACTATGGAGAACAGTGTGGGGATTCCTTAAAAAACTGGAAATAGAACTGCCATATGACCCAGCAATCCCACTCCTGGGCATACACACCAAGGAAACCAGAACTGAAAGAGACACATGTACCCCAATGTTCATCACAGCACTGTTTATAATAGCCAGGACATGGAAGCAACCTAGATGCCCATCAGCAGACGAATGGATAAGAAAGCTGTGGTACATATATGCAATGGAATATTTCTCAGCCATTAAAAAGAATGCATTTGAATCAGTTCTAATGAGGTGGATGAAACTGGTGCCCATTTTACAGAATGAAATAAGCCAGAAAGAAAAACACCAATACAGTATACTAATGCATATATATGGAATTTAGAAAGATGATAATGATAACCCTATATGAAAGACAGGAAAAGAGACACAGATGTATAGAACAGACTTTTGGACTCTGTGGGAGAAGGCGAGGGTGGGATGATCTGAGAGAATAGCATTGAACCATGTATATTATCAAGTGTGAAACAGATCGCCAGTCCAGGTTTGATGCATAAGACAAGTGCTCAGGGCTGGTGCACTAGGATGACCCAGAGGGATGGGATGGGGAGGGAGGTGGGAGGGGGGTTCAGGATGGGGAACACATGTAAATCCATGACTGATTCATGTCAATGTATGGCAAAAACCACTACAATATTGTAAAGTAATTAGCCTCCAACTAATATAAATAAATGAAAAAAAATATTTAAAAAAAAGCCTAATATACCCTTATCACTTAAATCACTCCCTGGCAGTATTAATTCAGCTTTTTATTCTTTTCTAAGAGTAATGACCTTAACTTGGGATGAAAAAACATTAGATCCCCAAATTGATTATCTCAACATCCCAGAATCACTTAATCAGAATATATTCTCTAACTTTTCCATGAGATTGTTTCAAGCCTAACATTAAAGTTTGGGATAGGTCAGCCTTGAGACAGAGTAACTTCATTTTAGACCGGTAAAGCCTTGTCATGCTGCTACATGAAATTATAGAACCATGTAAAATTAGTTAGAAGGGTCCATAAAAATAATAAATTCCAATTCTCAATTTACAAATGAAAACTGGGATTGTGACTTAGGGCAGCCACATAACTATGGCAGGGTCAGACCTAAACCCAAGTTTTCTAATTTCAGCACTTCTCCTGGATCATGGTGTTCTGTGTATCAGAATCATTCAGGGGACTTATAAAAATAGATAGCTGAGCTTCATCCTGTTACTGTCAGTCTGGGGGGTCTGCTCATTTGTATTTCTAAGTTCCCAGGTGATGCTGATGCTGCTGGTTGGGAACCACTCCCTTAAGAACCACTCTATATATACTCCCTTGAGTCTTTGCCTATTGTTGTTATTCAGTCTCTAAGTCATATCCAACGCTTTATGACCCCATGGACTTTATTTAATCATAAAGTTCTTATTTCACACCATTTAGAAATAAGACAACAGATACTGTCATAGGTAAGGCACACAAAGGACAAAGAGGTTAATGACTTGCCAGTAGTCACACAGCTAGCAAGCATTCAGAACCTAGATGTTTTGCTCCAAGTAAAAGTTCTTAGTAAATCCTACATTAGTAAGTGTATAGCCTCTGCCCAGGTTAGCTCAGCTGAAAGCATTGGTTTCTAACAAGGGTAAATTCTTTAGGAGATTGTTATTACTGTATTCATATAAATCCCTGAATAAGTCAGATCTTGTCATGCTTAACTGATATTTAAACAAAAGTTACTAAATAATAGGAATATCACTACTTTGTAGAGGCTCCAATTTTGAAGTATTACTGGGTCCTTCTTAGTAAAATTGTCTTGTAATATCATTAAGCTTCCTTTTAAGATAGATCCTCTGAACTATTATTTAGAAGTTCTCTGAAGTATTACTTAGAAGTTGAATTTTAATAAACTCTTAATGAGAGATTCAAGTTAAAAAGTTTAAAATGTAAGTTTCTCTTTGACATAAAAGCTATTTTTCCTAGAATACCCACATATGATTTAAAACGTTACCTTACTAAAACACAGGACTTAGGGAATGAAACATACACAGTATATTCATGGCCATATCTTGATGAAGACTGCAAGATAATTTCCAGTGATATTACTAGGTGCAGTAGCAACAAAGATTTAACCCATTTACCTTCCAAATGTGGTATCTGTGACATGCTTAGAAGTTTCCCAAACAGGACTAATTAAAATAGTTATTGAGTTAAAGGCTATGGGAAGCTAAAATACCAGCACTGTTTCACAAAAACCCTATCTTTGTATTACAGACTCGGCAGAGTTCTACAAGGAGTAGTGTATCCCAGTATAACCGATTGGATCAATATGAAATCAGAAGCCTCTTGATGTGCTATTTGTATATAGTAAAAATGATTTCTGAAGGTGAGTTACCAGCATATTAATCATAGACTGTACTCTACCCTCACAGATTCACAAGTTCATGTAACAAATATTTGACCATCATCTGCATGTAGGACATAGGCACATTACAAACAGAACTTTGAAGACTTTGACCTTGGAATGTTCCTATATTTTAACTTAGAATAGATTCATTTCCATCATACAGGTTTGATTCTTTGAAATAATTTTTTTCTTTAAAATTAGTTTCTAAAGCTTCCCTTGTGGCTCACGATAAAGAATCTGCCTGCAGTGCAGGAGACCCGGGTTCAGTCCCTGGGTTGGGAATATCCCCTGGAGAAGGAAATGGCAACCCACTCCAGTATCCTTGCCTGGAAAATCTCATGGACAGAGGAGCCTGGTGGGCTTTAGTCCATGGGGTTGCAAAGAATCGGGCACAACTGAGGGACTAACACTTACTTACTTACTAAAGTGAGGCAATAGTTTTAGAAGTGCTAGAGTATTTTTTTTCATGCAGAGCATAGAATGCATTAAATGACCAACGTAAACAGAAGAAAATAACAATAACAAAAAGTCATATTTAACACTGTAGCTTTTATTTAACCCAGGATTTTCAAAATCAAACACAAACAAAAAGACAGGAAGGGTTCTTTGAGGGTAAGGAATGCTGTTGTTATCTTCACAGGACCATTATACAGATTTGTATGGTGTCAGGTTCTTTTCCAGGCTGTTCTCTTTACCTTGATGTATAATTTTATTATTTATAATTTACCATTTCCTCTTTACCATATATAATAGAATATAAGCAAAGGATTTTAATAAACTGCAAGTCCTTTGGAAGTAAAATCAGAAGGTTCTATCTCATTCCAAGTACCACCTTTGTTTATACAATTCCCTCTTCTTTTCTTCCTTTTCTACTTTTGCTCAAAAAGAAAAAAAAAACAATCATAAAACCACCCGAAAGACCCCCCAAAACAAAACAAACAAAAACCTAGGGATTTCCCTGTAGCTAAGACGCTGCACTGCCAATGCAGGGGTCCTGGATTCAATTTCTGGACAGGGAAATAGATCCCACACACTGCACCTAAGACCCTGTGCAGCCAAATAAATATTCTTAAAAAAAGCAGAAATGAAGAACATAAAAGCACCCGGGTTTTGACCATCATAGACAGGGAAATAGATCCCACACACTGCACCTAAGACCCTGCAGCCAAATAAATATTCTTAAAAAAAAAAAAAAAGCAGAAATGAAGAACATAAAAGCACCCGGGTTTTGACCATCATAATACAGTAGTTAAATTTTAACTTATTTTCTATTTAGTTTTTAGTAAATATTAAACATTTTTTGTAATAATGCAGAATATAAAAACATAAGTTGATAGTTAACTTGCCAGAGAGATTGAAACACATCAAAAGTTAGATATGAATAGTTAATTCTAAAGTACATTAATAAAAGAGCTTTAAGTAAGTAGAATCTTAAAGTACTTAGAATGTATGATTTACAGTAAAAGTCAAATCATAATACAGTAGATTTTACTTATTTTCTATTTTGTTTTTAGTAAATATTATTTTAAACATTTTTGTAATAATACAGGATATAAAAACATAAAATGAGTTGATAGTTAACTTGCCAGAGAGACTGAAACACATCAAAAGCTAGATATGAAGTTAATTCTAAAATACATTAACAAAAGAGCTTTAAGTAAATAGAATCTTCAAGTACTAACAATGTATGATATAGAATAAAAGTCAAATCATAATACAGTAAATTTTACTTATTTTCTATTTTGTTTTTAGTAAATATTATTTTAAACATTTTTGTAATAATACAGGATATAAAAACATAAAATGAGTTGATAGTTTACTTGCCAGAGAGATTGAAACACATCAAAAGCTAGATATAACTAGTTAATTCTAAAACACATTGACAAAAGTTTTAAATAAGTAGAATCTTCAAGCACTAACAATGTATGATTTAGAATAAAAGTCAAATCATAATACAGTAAATTTTACTTATTTTCTATATTTTGTTCTTAAGTATTATTTTAAACATTTTTGTAATAATGCAGGATATAAAAACATGAAATGAGTTGTTAACTTGCCAGAGAGATTGAAAAACATCAAAAGCTAGATATGAATAGTTAATTCTAAAGTACATTAATAAAACAGTTTTTAAAAACTAGAATCTTCAACTACTTAGAATGTATGATTTAGAGTAAAAGTCAAAGATTATTGAGACTATGTTATAAGCTTCCATGTTTTGGGAAAGAAATATGTAAAAGGCAATAATATTCAACCCTGGTGGTATTTCATTCCAAGAAATAATGAATCAAATTAACAACCATAGCCACAGCTTATTGTTTTTGTCTCCCCACAAGCTAAAAAGTGGGGGAATGTAGAAAGTGACTGCTATTATGTATGGGCTTTGTTTAAGGGTGATGAAAATATTCTAAAACTGTGGTGATGATTTTACAAATTTTTAAATATACCATAAACTACTGTATTGTACTCTATTTAAAAGGGTGAGTTTAATGGCACATGAATTCACTCAATAACTTTGTTTTTTCAAAAGGCTCAAGAATACAAGGGGAACAAAAACTGTAAGGAAAAAAGGAGCTGAATACCACTACAGCCAGGGAAAATGAGGGTGGTAGGGGGAGGAGAGAAGAAAGGGAAGAAGAGAGAGACATGCATGGCTGAGTAGTTCTCCCCTCCTCCACTCCAGTACACATGTGCACACTTGCATATGTATGCAAGTGCATGCGCATGTGTACACACACACACACTGTGATAACCAGTGACAAGCCACCAGAAAGACTGGCTGCTTTATGTTATGGGTAAAACCATAACTGCTTTGTTTCTTGAAAAGGTCTCCTCTTGTAAATGCTGACCTTGCTTGCTCAATACTTGGTCTTTGTTAATGAGGTTTGTAACTCTTCTGTCTTGGTTTTTTATTTTTAAAAGCAAATTTTAATAACTAGTATACAGTCTGTGTCACATTTTCTCTTTTGTAATTTAAGTCATGCTGTATGTATCTGTAAAGTCATACTCATTTTATTCTGCAAACTATCTGCTTCTGAATCTTTCTCAGTGTCAGTATTGTAGTTACCTTGTCAAGTCCAGTAAGTATTTCATTTATATGTATTTCAGGGTTGAACTCTTACAGTCCAGCCTTTTAGGTGTTCTCATGGCTTTCTTTTTTTTAAGCCTTCTATTGACTCATAAGGGCTTCCCAGGTGGCACTAGTAATAAAGAACTCGCCTGCCAATGCAGGAGTCTAAGAGACTCCATGGATGGGAAGATCCCCAGGAGGAGGGCATGACAACACACTCCAGTATTCTTCTAGAGAATCCCACGGACAGAGGAGCCTGGCAGGCTACAGTCCACAGTGTTCCAAAAAGTAGGACACAACTAAACCAATTTAGCATGGCACACACTGACTCATAGACACTAGTAGCTTAATTTCAACAAAAAGATGGTAGACCTCTTATATAGAAGTAGAGGGATTCTGAAAACTAAGTTTCTTTCTTTGTAGCTGAATTTTATTAACTGGCAATAAGTCACTGTTTCAAAGTCTTAGTCATTTGCCCAACTTTTTATGGCCTGTATATTATATTCTGGGAAGTAGAATCAAAGTCAGGAATTTTCAGTTATATAGTCTGAATACAAATGTTAAATAGTCTGAACTGATAGGAAGACTGTCCTCTTGGGAAAGAAAAACAGTCTCCTTAAGAGAGAGATGGAGAGAAAGCTACTTCCTCCCTTTTTTTAGCTGTATCTTCACTTTTCTCTTTATTGAAGACCCCGAAGTGCAAGGCTGAGTCTCACCTTGTGGCTTACCAGCATCATGGGCTGCACCTGTAGCTCCATTAGTATTCTTCCTTGCTGTGGACTGTTCACTGCAAGGTGTCTCACTACTGCTCTCTCTCACTAAAACTTGAAAAACACCAAATGATGGTCTTGTCACTTTAGAGCTTGAAGTATTGTCTAAAGGAAATAGATGTAAAGTGGTGGTGTTTTCGCCTCTCCGTGTAAAAGGAGCAAAAATGCTTTTGCTATAATCAATCACACTTTCCTCTGAAGTTTCAGATAATATTTCGGTAGGTACGTCTTCTCCTGGAGAAATACTGGAAAGGCTCCGAGGGAAATCAGTCTCAGGTCCACGCTTTGGTGTGGAGGTCCTCTGTGAGGAGGTCCTCTGTGTGAAATTTGATTTGCTTTGTGAATGGCCAAGCGTGGCATCAGGAAGGCTGGAGTCATCTGGAAATCCATACACTGTTTGAGGGCCGACTGTAGATGCTGAAGCAACAGTGCTAGCTGACTTCTGACTGCCACTCTTTATTGCCATAGGATTACTTCTGTTAGAGGAAATCTCCTGAGGGCTCTCTGGCACCTCCAAGACGTCCTGACTGTAAAATGGAACCTGAAACTTGGAACTGTGTGGCTGTTTCTTTTTCCCTCTAGATTTCATCTGTTTGGTATTTGTTTGCGTTATCAGCTTGACAGCCACATGACTCTCAGGTCCAGGCGGAGAGTCCCTGGTCGAAATAACTGACTCGCTCGTTTGAGACCCAGGGACAAAGTCGTCATCACTATCGGAAGAAGAATGGCGAAACTCTTGCTGTTTCATCTTGAGCCTAGCCAAAAGCTGCTTGTTTTCTTCTCTTAATTTATTCCTTTCTGCTGTGAGGTCACTAAGAAACTTAAGATTTTTTTGTTGGATATCATAAAATTCTTGCTGTAGCGTATTCCTGTACGTTTCGTTTACTGTACAGCGATCACATACTTTGGTGTTTAACTGACCTCGCAGGTCACGGATAGTGTCCTTCAGGGCTCTCTGTTGCTCCGTCAACTCTTTAATTCTGCATTCGGAGCCTGTCCGCCTCCCGTCTGACAATCGCTCTTTCCTCAAACTGGTTATTTCCCCCTGAAGTCGGCGTAGCTCTCTGTCATGGAGCTCTTTTAGTGTTAGCCAGGTTTTTTTAAACTCCTCAGAAGACACATCACAGAGGCTAACCTGCATTTTATCTCCTTCGGAAGAGCTCTGCCCACTTTCCCTGTCTTCTTCACCCACGTCCCCCGCCTTCATCTTGATTCTCTGACTGGGACTGGGAAATAGTGGAGACAGGCACCACCGAAAAATGGCGGAAGGGCCGTCAACTAGAACTGGGCCGCCAACCGAACGAGAGTTTCACCCCTTCTGCAGACCTGTGAAGTGGTCTCAGTGCACCGGGCGGGCGAGAGGATGGATCAAAGATGGCTCAGGGGTGGACAGCAGGACGCAGGTAGGGGCTGGAAGGAGACACCAGCCTCCTTTTGCCGAGAAGAGCCAAGGCACAAGGGAGGGAAGACGCCACCTTCAGGCCACCTTATGCCTGACTGAGGACTAGGGAGACTGGAAACGCAGTGACTTCTGGGAAAGCCCCTCTGAGCTGAAGTGCGTCCCAAGAGGGGGGAGTGACTTGGAACTTACCCCTTGATTTATTTTTGAAGCAAGTTAATTTGACCCTATTTTAGCATCTTTATTCCTGACAGTCAGTATTTTATAATCATTGAAAGCCACAAATACCCATGGTCATTAGTAAGTTGGACATAAAGTCAAAAGCCATGCTCTCTTTCCTCCCTATCACCCCTCCGTTTAGGCAACATTGCCTAGTTGTCCATTCCTAGATTTAAGAGGCTCTCTGGAGACTGGCAATTCTGTAACTGACTACTGTTGTGATCCATGCTAGATCTTTCCTCGTGGCTCAGTAGGTAACGAGTCTGCCCGCAATGGAGGAGAGCCAGGTTCAATCTCTGGATCGGGAAGATCCCCTGGAGAAGGAAATGGCAACCAACTCCAGTATTCCTGCCTGGAGAGTTCCGTGGACAGAAGAGCCCAGTGAGGCTACTGTCCATGTGGTCACAAAGAGTCGGACACAACTGAGTGACTAACACTTTCACTAGGTTTTTAAAATTTAGAAGTGAAACTCCTGACACCATTAGCTATATCTGATTAGGTTAAAAAATGGAATGGAAGGTTAAGTGGGGGTAATATTTTTCTTTTAAAAAAGTTTCAGTGAGTGTGTTGGAAGTTAAAAAAAAGAACAGCTCAAAAGAGAAGTATATGTGATAGGTTTAGGGGCTTTTATATCTAAAATAGTTCTTCCATGAATCTGTGTGGTATGTATGTATAGTGCTAGGACTTCAGGGTTAATAATCCAAAGAGAAAGAAGAAAATAAATTATCACATTTCCTCTCAAGTTCTTAAACTTTTTAGTTCTCCGAGCCCTTTGAGTAGCAGGCAAAGGTGCTTGACCCTACCTTCTGAACAATGCACATAAATGCACCATTTTGCATGAAGTTTTATGGAAAACCCTAGGTCTATTTCGCTTCCTGGCTTCAGGGATGATAAGCCATCGAAAAGAACATTTATAAAGTAAATAATAATAATTGTTAAAGTTGAAAATAATTACAGATTAAGCAGTATATGTGAAATTAATTCAATAGAGTGTAGTGTGGGTATTGGGCAGTGAGATGAGATAGGAGGGCAGGATTCAGATGAGACAGAACTGGTTATGAGTTGATGGTTATTGAAACTAAAGTTACTGGTACTTTGTAATTCACTATGATGTTAATATTTGCTGTTACGGTCTCTGTTATTTCAAGCTATAACACTTTATTCCATTTTCAGATACACTCTTAACCTACTGGAACAAAGTATCTCCCCAGGAGCTCATAAACATTCTCATACTTCTAGAGTAAGTTGTCTTATTTTCATAAAATTTCCTCTTATTTTTGGGAGCTTAATGTTGATAGTTAATGAAATATTACTCCTTTTTTGTTTTCATCAGCATATTTTTACAAAATGTAGGGAATGTTAAACTATTTTCATAGTTTATAGGTTGACGTATAGCTTCTTCACACATAGAAGAAAAACATGTATGCGAAATACTTGCGATATTATAGAAAACTCTAGCTAATAATAGCCCATCTTTGCAGACCATCAGGAATCTTTGTGTGATCTGGAAAACTGCAAGTGGCACCAGCTGTCCTAATCATTCATTTAGAGCAGATGCTGGCTTAATGGATCCCCTTAAATGTTGGAGTTTAGCATGTGTACCCTTAGATAGAGCTGAGTAATTCTACCCACTTCAGAAATGTGTGTTTGTGTGTATATGTATATATATTCCAAGATACTTGAGGGAAAAAAGCTAGCGTTTTTTCCTAAGTAGAGGGGGGAAGTTGTCCTATATTGTTTGCTGAGCTATTTTATTGAAAGGTAAAAGAAAAATTAGAGTGATGTGTAATTTTTAAATACATTTTAAAATAAATAGTACACATATATGATATTGTATGTGCATGTCCAGCAAAACATTTGGAGAAAATATGTGCAAACAAAGAAGGATTAAAAAAAAACTACTCTAGTTATATTGAAATATTCACTGATGAAAATAGATGATGTTGTTGGGGATTTACTTTAAAAACATGGAGGAGGTAGTAAGTGTAGAGGGAGAGGAAAGGACATGTTTGGGGTAGAAGTTAAACAGGAGTGACCATGAATTGATAATTGTTGAAGCTGGTGGGTGCTGGGTATATGGGGTTTAGTTTGCTGTCCTTTCTACTTGTATGTTTGGGATTTTCTATACTAGAAAGTGGCTTAATGCCATTATAAAGAATATAGCAATTGCCACAAGTTTTAGGGCTTAAGAACCTTTTTAGGTGTTTATGACTATATTAGAGACCTTTGCTGTGACACACACTATAAAGCTCGAAGGATGATTTGCATTGATATGTTTTTTAAAAATATGTCATTAGAAAAAAAATATGTCATTAGAATTGTATATGAAGACCTGAGACTTTTTAGTGCTGAAGTAATTGTAGCAAATAAATGTAGAGTGATATAATATGGTTGGTGGTTGTATATTTATTTGTGTATACCAAAACATATTATTGTAGTATGATTTTAAATAGGCCATTCTTTGTAACACATGAATTTTCAAATATTATTTGTTAAAATGCAAAGTATGGTGATATAGTACTAACATGCTACTATTTTTCTTTCTAGAGTATGTTTGTTTCACTTTAGATACATGGGGAAAAGAAACATAGCAAGGTAATTCCCATAGCACTGCAATTTCCTCTTTTTTTCTTCTCTTCCAACAGAGGGCAGTCTTAATCATTCCATGTAAAACCTATGTGCTTCATTTTGAGTTAGCCTTAAGATACTCATAATTTATTTAATGCTTCTCAACTCAAAGTTGAAATTAACCTGATGTGAAGTGATACTTTTTTTAAGTTTTCCAAAGGATAATGGTTAGACTGATGTGCATAGTTTCCGGTCTAATCCTAGAACAGATGCTTGTCTCTTCTGAAGGATGTGAGAAAAGGCTAGATCCAAGGGATGGCAGGAAATTGTCAAGTGAGGACAACTGTCAGGTGTGTACTTTTGTGTACAACCTATCGGTATTCACCTCAGTTAGTAATGTAAACTGAAATCCCCAACAGTAATTATAGCATGCATTATATATTATTTCTTTCTTCTTTTTGCTGTGTAAGTCTTAGTGAAATAAATACTTAAGAAAATGTTTGTGGGATCCTAAGGAAAAGATTACTTGCTTATTTTGATAAAATATATTTCAGAGGTAGAGGTAGTCATTAAAGGAACTTAAATAGAATTATTTTCTTTATTGAAGTAAATTTCATGGCACTTCCAAAAACTAAAGAGGCAGTTTGAAAGAACGTGAAAGTCTATCAGTCATATCTGACTCTTTGCGGTGCCATTGACTGTACAGTCCATGGAATTCTCTAGGCCAGAATACTGGAATGGATAACCTATCCCTTCTCCAGGGTGTCTTCCCACCCAGGAATCAAACTGGGATCTCCTGCATTGCAGGTGTATTCTTTACCAACTGAGCTATGAGGGAAGCCCAAAGAGGTGGTTTGGATTAGGTTTATTGCTGAGACTCTGGGACATCCTAATAATTCAGGTGACGATTTCTGTTGTCTTCCCAGTACTGGGAGCTTGTTGGGAACTGGTATGGTAACTACCACCATGAACCTTAACCTCTAAGATTCTGGTGACCTGCCCTCTGTGTTTACTAGAGGATGGACAAACTCTTTTTTTCTCAGTCCCCGCATTACCTAGTTGTTAATTTTTTTAAATGAAACCCTAAAAATTAAAGGAAAACAAAATAAAAATGTGCAAATAGACATCTTTGTAGAATTAAAAATTCTGATCCGAGTTTAACTCCGGTCCAGAAACAGATTAGATAGTGCTCATTCTTAAATATCTGACTCCAGGAAACCACCTCCTGCCATGTCAACTCTTGAGTGTCCCTCTCATTGTTTTCTCTGACTCTTGCCTTTCCTTATCTCCTGAGATAAAGATGGAATCTTATTGGAGTATTGTCCACTCTGATATATTGTGCACTGTCTAATATTTTTGAGAAGAGGACGGAAAGTAAGAAACTCTCTAAATTCCTCACTTGTATTCTTATAGTATAAGGTATTTAAAATATACAGTAAGCATCATACAATTCCCAGTGATGTCTCATTTAAGCCAAATAATAATTGGTAGAATATTGAGCATAGCACAGTGTTTATGTGGAAACCTAGTCATTTATTAGTTTAAAAAAATGTAACACTGAGATACAGTATTAGAGTAATCCATTTTCTAACTTTAACATTTATTTTAGGGTGCATGATGCCTGGCTGTCAAAACACTTTGGAGTAGACCGAAAATCACAAACCATGCCAGCTCTTCGAAACAGATCAGGAATAATGCAGGCCCGACTTCAGCATCTTAGTAGCCTGGAAAGTTCATTTACACTTAATCACAGTAAGTGCAGAATGTGGGTAGGGTACCCATTTGAAACAGACATTAATACTATTTAACCTAAATCATCATACAGCTGGAGATCATTTCACATCTCTGTTTCTGTACAGTCATTTCATCATATATGAATGTAATATCAAATATGCATGGATTGTTTTTAGCAATTTTAGTTAATAGTGAGTTCTTAGTTTAATATGAAGGAAATTAATTTTCTCATTGAATTATTATTTTTATTTTACATTCAATATCTTTTATCCGTACTTTAATGCAAATAATGACATTTGAATATAATAGTATATATAATATTTGTTTATAGAGTGACTATTTTTCATTCAGTGATTTTTAAGGGATTACCCATGCTGAGCTGTCTGTAGAGATCAGAGCACTGTAAATACTATTTTGACTAAGATGTGTTTCACACAGGTTGAAATATTGACAAGTTCAGTAGGACAGGGAGGAAGCTAGAGGGTCATATAAATGAAAGCTATCCTCTAAAAAGCAAATCTTAATAAAAAGTCAAAGAGTGAGAAAATGTTCATTTCCATACAGTCCTTTAGAGGTTGCATAAGAGGAAGTCAGCAGAACTGACTGCCGTAAGGACTAATAATAAACACAAATGTCTTGATCAGATGGATGCTGAGCTACTAGACTCAGGACCTTTCAAAAAAAATGCAAGTGGTACAGCCTTCAGCTTTGTTCTTTGTCACTTGGAACAATGTAAAGAACCTATGTCTTTCAGTTGGCCCAAATGCTTTGTTTTCCTTCTGATTTAGAAACAAGTCTCATACCACTGGCATCATTGAAAACATCAGGCCATAGGGAACCACTGTACATAACATAGCTGCATTTCTATGAGTTTCTCATTTTTGCACATATAATTAACAGCACAGTCTAAAATGCCTCCCATGTTATTTCTTAGTTACATACCTAGTTCATCACTCACATCTTGTCTACAAGGAAGTTGGCACCTATTTATTTGTTGCAGAGCTGTTTATACAGAGCTGAAGTAAAAAAAAATAGCAGAATTGATTAACCCAGATCGTATTTGATTAAGGAGTAAATACAGCGAAACTCACTAAGTCTGCAGGTATTGAGAGCCTGGTGTCTTTTTGCTTGTCTCTCTCTCTGAGTCTTTGGGAAAGAAAATCATTCAAAACTGTTATGTGAATCCTTGTGTCATACAGTTTTAATTTCCTTTTTTTTTTTTTAATTTCAGGTTCTTCAACAACTGAAGCAGACATTTTCCACCAGGCACTTCTTGAAGGAAATACTGCTACTGAAGTTTCCCTAACAGTGCTAGATACCATATCATTTTTCACTCAGTGTTTCAAGGTAAAAATGAAAAGTTAGGATTCAGTTGGTATCACTGCAAAGAAAATATGCAAAAATTAACTAGGCAGATGAAGCTTAGTGCAGTATAAAAGCCCCCAGTGAGCAGTCAGGAAACTTGGGTGGCAGATCTAGTGTGACCTCAAGAAATCACTGAGACTCATCCTTAAAATGAGATAGTTGGACTATTAATAATTTGTTCTTTATTTTCCTTCTCTGTTATTTTTGTGTTTAAAAACAGGCTTTTTCATACTTTTATGAAAATATCCAGTTAATTTTAGCCTAAATTATGATTGAGTCAGCCTGTCCAAGTACCTGTTGAGATGAGGTGTCTTGTCAAGCCAGATGATGTCCAGGCAGACTGGCTGACTGGCTGGCATCCCTTGTCAGGGGTTTACTGGTTTTACTCAGATGCTTGCCTCTCACTACAAATCATCATTGCTAGAATTAAAAAATAAAAGAAGAACAAATTGAAAGTAGTTATCTTGCAGGGTTGTTGAAGGTGTAAAATGAGATAATGGATGGTAGAGAGCTTTGAATAAACACTATATAACTATGTGCTTTGCTTAGTCGCTCAGTTGTGTCTGACTCTGCGACCCCATGGACTGTAACCTGCTAGGCTCTTCTGTCCCTGGGATTCTCCAGGCAAGAATGTTGGAGTGGGTTGCCATTTCCTTCTCCAGCGGATCTTCCCAATTGAGAGATTGAACCCAGGTTTCCCGCATTGCAGGGGGATTCTTTACCAGCTTAGCTACCAGGGGAGCCCATATAACCATAATGTGAGGTAACAGTAGTGGGAGAAGTCAAAAGTGAAAACTCTTGCTGGCTCTTTGTCTGAGTTACACAGATATTTTTTCTTTTCTTTCCCCTTCTTAAAGTAATTCAGTTAATTTCTTCAGGCCTCCAGGTTTACTATGGAAACCAGGCCTGTGCTTCTCAAAGAGTCTTATAAGGGAAAACTGAATTAGATAGTAAAGAGAAATAGACTGCAGGATGTATGAAGTATTGTTTGTTCTGATTAAAATTCAACCCAAATTCATTTTTTATTGTGCCAGTAAATAAGACATTTGGTTTCAAGGTTTGCATTGTTATTTCTTCCTCCTAGTCAGACATTTCTTATTTATGCAACATACATCTCTTGTTAGTTGACATCTCTGTTAGATGACAGACACTGTCCTAAGTGCTTTAGAAATATTAACTCACTTTTTAATTGTGGGACTGGAGGTAGAAAAGAGGACTGCAGGTGGGCACCAAGGATCTTTTTGAGATGATGGGAATGAGTGGATTGCAAAGACTGCACAACTCTGTAAATTTATTAAAAATAATTGAATCATAAATTTAAAATAGGTAAATTTTGTTGTATGTAAATTACTCAATCAACTTAAAAGGACAATTATTAACTCACCTTTAATCCTTACACTAGCTTTGTTATGTAGATATTATTATTTTTCCCATTTTAAAGTGAGAAAAGTGAAGCTCACAGGGAACTTAATGTCACATAGCTAGTCAGTAGCAGATCAGGGTTTTAATCTTGGCCAGTTATCACAAGAGTCCTTGCTTATAACCACTGCCCTATGCTCTTAGTAGACTAAGGGAGGAACCAGAAAGATGGAGCACCATTCTGGGATTCTGGCTATCAGTGTTACCATTAAATCTGTTACAAATATGCATATGGTTTTGGTTTTTTGTTGTTGCTTATGGCCAAGTTGTAACCTGCTAATTAGTTTCTTAAGGGATAGGAGAGCAGGGCTGAAGACATTAATCAATGCATTCTTTTTTAAACAGAAAGGGTCACAAACCAATAGATGCTTCTCCACAATTTCTAGTTTCTTTTATATCTCTAGTAAGTTTACAGAGCTGTGCAGTCATTACAATCCAGTCATTCCCATTATCTCAAAAAGATCCTTGGTGCCCATATGCAGTCCCCCTTTGCACCTCCAGTCTCACAATAAAAAAGTGAGTTAATATTTCTAAAGCACTTAGGATAGTGCCTGTCATCTACCAAGATACGTATGTTAAATAAATTAAGAAATATCTGAATTTGAAGAAAGGAATAAGAGTGCAGATTTTGCTAGACAGGCGCTTTAACAAATCAAATGTCTTATTTACTGGCACAATAAAAAGTGAATTTGAGTTGCACATTAATCAGAGCAAATTTAATACTTCATAAAGAGATTCTGCAGCCTATTCCTGATTAGTATCTAAGGAACCTTTAAACAGTTTGTGTAGTCTTTCAGTTGTGATACCTGTTATTATCTCTCCTCATAGAGGGTTTAATTGTCACCAGTGGCTAGACATACACTAAACATACATTTAAAAATGAATTGGATAATAGAATTTTAAAATAGAATTGATGTTTTCCTTAATTCTTACATTACTTTATTTCTGTCAGAGAAGTACAAAGGCTAGTTATCGTGTATCCATTCTTAATTTACTGATTTCTTAATTAAGAAGCAACTTGATTAGGTTAGTAGAAAATACATTTCCTATAATAGTTCTGTTTTTGCTGTGGTATACTGGAAAAAGATTTTTTTTCATCTATTTAAAAGTAAGCTATTAAGTATGGATTTAGTTTTTATAGTATTTTGAGATTTCCAAATTGAAAGATGGCAGAAATGTTTTTAGATTATGTTAAGCTTCTTATTGTTATTTTTCAAGCAGTGGTTTGATGAACAGGTATTGGTAAAGCCTGTTCTCTCATTTTAGGGGGAGCAGCATAAACTATTTGTAAAAAAAGCTTTTTTATGTTTTCTAGAGTCAACTTTTAAATAATGATGGCCACAACCCATTAATGAAAAAAGTATTTGATATTCATCTTGCTTTTCTTAAAAATGGGCAGTCTGAAGTGTCGCTGAAACATGTCTTTGCCTCACTGCGAGCGTTCATTAGTAAGGTAAGGAACAAATCTTTGTGGCTGCAAGTGGCCTTGCTTCTTGGTAAGAAAGATCAGGGGAACAGGATATCCAAATCTCAGATAATGAAGCCATTAAATCCTGCCTTTATAGCATTAATACAGAACAGCAAAATACAGAAAGAGGGCCTGACCACGAATTCCCTAAAATCACCATGTGCTTTTAATTTCATCTTGTTATTCCTTTTTTTTTTTCATTAGGCTCCTTTGAGGAGTGTCATGGTAAAGTTATCAACTGCCAATATTTCTTCTCTTTGGTTTCTTTTTAAAGTATTATCATGCTGCAGATATATAAACTGAGTGAGCTCATGTATAATCACTTTGAAAGCAGAGACAAGTTATAAAACCCCAGGGCCTTGTAGGATATCTTGCAAGTGGTAGGCATTTAATACATGTTCAGATGAATGAATCCTTCCTTTCAGTGCTAATTGTATCTGTGAGCTCCAGATTTTCAGGCCATTTACGTCATGTAAACTAAAACTTCAGACTAGGTTTTTAGGAACAAATATGACTCAGCAAAAATTTATTTCTGGTCTGTTAAGTATCAGAAACCTAGATGGAGTTAAAATTATGGAAAGGCACAGTCTAGGCCTCCACCCTGGTATATGTAACTCCAACAAGACAAATTCAGTTAACTGATTTGTGGAATAGGCTAGCTCAGCAACTTTTTTGATCGTTATTTGTATAGCAACTTATTGTCCCAAATTGATAGAAAAGTAGATGATTTTGAAGGTTTATTTTTAAATTGCCATTCTTTAATGCAATTTTGTGAATAAAGAAATAAATGAAAAACTGAGTTCAGTAGAAGCATATGACAAGAAACTAAGGGAAAGAGATTCAGAAATAATTCATTTAATGAACAGTGACTGGATGGGTAATTAATTATTGGTGTCAGACTTTGTGTCAAAGATACAGTCTGAGGGCTTATTGTCCAGTAGAGGAAAGCACACATTGATGCACATCTACAAACACCATTAGGATAAAGGAAGCCTACAGAGAACTGAGGGTAAACAGGAGGACAGGAAACACTAATTGAGCAACACTTCTCTGCAGCACTGAAGTTAGGATTTAGTTTGGACTCAGCAATTGAGATGAGACTGAAGAGGTCAGTGGGGACCAGATGGTTATGTCCTCATGTTTTTCATGAGCTAGATTTTCATGAGTTAGATTTCATCTTTTAGGTGTCGGGGAGCAGGAAAGCAACTAATTAGATTTGTATTAAAAAATTGTTGCAGGTATGGGAAAATCTCTTTGAATATAGTACAGAAGCATAATCTCTGCTCTCATGAAGATTTCAGTGGGTGGAAGGGGGAGAGAAAATAAATAAGTAAATAAAATAGTAATCGGAACAAGTTGTTGGAAGGAACCAAGGTGGTGAAATAGAGGATAATGCTTTGTGGGGGTTACTTTTGATGGGTTTGTCACTTATTTTTATATTTTAACTTTTTAAATTAAGACTTTATGTTTTGAAACAAGTTTTAAATTCACAGAAAAATCCAATGGGAAATACGGAAATTTCCTATATATTCCCACCTCCACGTAGATACATACAACCTCCCCCATTATCAACATCTGCCACCAGAGTGCTGCATCCATTACAACTGATGAACTTACATTGACACATAATCTTGCACGTGGGCTTCCCTGGGGGCTCAGTGGTAAAAAGAACTCACCTGCCAATGCAGGAGATGCAGGTTCGATCCCTGGGCTTAGAAGATCCCCTGGAGAAGGAAATGGCTACCTATTCCAGTATTCTTGCCTGGGAAATCCCATGGACAAAGGAGCCTGGCAGGCTAAAGCCCGTGTGATTGCAAAAAGAGTCAGACACGACTTAGCAACTAAACAACAAGGAGCACAGTGAACATTAAGTTTCATTCTTGGTGCATATCCCGTAGGTTTGGACAAATGACATGTACCCATCTTAGTATCAAACAAAGTATTTTAACTGCCCTAAAAATCTCCATCAATTCAACACTCCCCTCCCCACCACCCCCTGGTAATCAACAGTCTTTTTACTGTCTCCCCAGTCTTGCCTTTTCCAGAATGTCATATAGTTGGAATCCGGGTTTGTCACTTCTAAAATGAGACCTGAAACATGAAAAGGGGCCAGCCATTTGAAAAGCTCAAGGAAAAACACTCTAGGGAAAAGGGATAGAGCTTGAAATTCTTGGAACTGAAAGGTCAGTTTAGCTGGAGCGGAGTGAATTAGCGAGGTCATCAGCACACCCGTGGCAGTTGAAACCATGGGAGTGGTTTAAGTTCCCCCGGAGAGTCTGTACAGGAAGAGCAAGAACAACAACAAAAAGTTAAGAGCAAAAAAAAAAAAAAAAAAAAAAAAAAGAAAAAGAAAAAAAAAAGTTAAGAGCAGTATGTTGGAGAAAAGCAAGATAGAAGGGGTTGGAAGAGGAGTCTATGGAGGAGATGAAAGGGAGCAGTCACAGAAATAGCAAGAAAGGCAAGAAAGAAGCCAAAGTAGAGAGTATCAATATTATGCAATACAGAGTGGCCTAATAAGATAAGATGGAAAGGAAGTCCATCGGAATTGGCAATTACAAGGTCATTGAATATTTTGGTCATTGCCCACTCAGAGAAGTGATAGAAGACTTCCTATAGCAGATTACTCTACCGCAGTGCCTTCCTTTCCTGTATTTTCATACAGGTGTATCTTGCCCAACAAGATTCATTTAATCTGGTGAAACCATTGAAGAGATTTTTTCAATGCCAGCTAGAAAACATTTATTAAATGTTCATTAATAAATGAAGAAGCATAAACAGTAAGAAGCATTGTACTTAAGTGTTAAGATGATAAAAAGAAGATAGATTCCTATAATATGTGTTTAAATCCAAGATTCCTGAGAATGATTTTGAAAGAATCTAGCTTCACACTCCCTGAAAAAATCCATTGTGTACCCTGGAGCAGCTTAGTACTCACTTGCCTAGACATGTGAGCATGGAAGTTTGCAATAAGCCTATGTTCTATGTATAGCTTATTTTCCACAAAGCAGACTGAATACATTCCAAAAGTAGCAGTCACTTGCCTGTTTTGAGGATTAAATAGTCACTTTTGTACTTTTTCTATGCCAAACTGTATTTTATTCAACACTGTTTATGAGTAGAGGAGGCACATGTTTATGTTTGTGTGTTTACACTTCATCTGTACTCCATTTTGTTAAAAGATCAACTTTATTTGCTGAATAGATTCTTGATACAATTTTCCTAGCATTTGAAAGTTTATAATATAAGGAACTGTTTAAATATAAAGCAAAAGAGTAAGTAATGCAGATTGGCCTTCCCATTTTTATGGCCCAAATTGAGACCATAATCATGAAATGAGTCATCATTTCAGTCATTCATGAATACATGCTGGTCTTTATGTTTTTATCTAGCTTGGATTATCCAGAGTAGTGCCCTAATCTTATGTTGATCATGTATCCTCAAAGCACCCAGCTTAGTTTTAGGGAGAATACTGTAGGCACTTGATAGTTGATTGATTTCTGTTTTATGGTTTTTCAGATACTTATTTATGTTTTTCCTATTGTTTAGTTTCCTTCGGCCTTTTTCAAAGGAAGGGTAAACATGTGTGCTGCATTTTGCTATGAGGTTTTAAAGTGCTGCACGTCAAAGATAAGCTCAACCAGGAACGAAGCCTCTGCACTTTTGTATCTTCTGATGAGAAACAACTTTGAGTACACCAAAAGGAAAACCTTTTTAAGGACACATCTGCAGGTCAGTGAAAACCGAAGCTTCTCTTTTTTCTGTTCAATCTTTAGCCTCTCTACATTAAGATCTAGAGCTCCCCAGTCTAATACAAAGCTATTAGCCACAGGTGGCCATCTAGCACTTGAAATGTGGCTAGTCTCAATTCAGGACAAATTGACTTTTGAAGACTAAGTACAAAGAAGTAAAATATTTCAATTGTTTTATATTGACTATATGTCGAAGTGATATTTTGGATATATTTGTTTAAGTAAAATAAATCAAAATTCACTTGTGTCTTTTTACTTTTTAATGTGGCTGCTAGACAATTTAATATTACACATATGACTCATATCCTGTTTCTACTGGACAACACTGCTTGAGAACAGAGATATTAAGAGCATAGATTCCAGATTCCATGAATATCAACATACTTTGTGACCTTAGCAAGGACTCTTTAGTCTCTTAGTACCTCAGATGCTTCATAAGTAAAACACTGGTAAATATCTATACCTACCTCATATGGTTATGGTGAGTATTAAAGAGATGATTAAGTAACAAACGAAGTACTTGTGTTTTGTCATGCTTCAGCATGTGCAGTTAGTTAAAAAATGAGTGAAGTCTCAAAAGTTTAATGGAAAACATGTACTTTGGAAACATACCTGCTGCTGCTGCTGCTAAGTCGCTTCAGTCGTGTCCGACCCTGTGCGACCCCATAGACAGAAGCCCACCAGGCTTCTTTGTCCCTGGGATTCTCCAGGCAAGAACACTGGAGTGGGTTCCCATTTTCTTCTCCAATGCACGAAAGTGAAGTGAAAGGGAAGTCACTCAGTCATGTCCGACTCTTAGCGACCCCATGGACTGCAGCCCACCAGTCTCCTCCATCCATGGGATTTTCCAGGCAAGAGTACTGGAGTGGGGTGCCATTGCCTTCTCCAGAAACATACCTACCTGGACTTAAATCATAGCTTAGCTACTTACTTAATATGTGACTCTAGGGAAGTTACTCAGTTCGTCTTAACTGTTTGCCTCATCTGTAAAATGAGGCCAAGTATGTTTCAGCTTGTGGGGTTTATAATGAGGGTTAAAAATAAAGTTTGTGTATGCCTAGCTCATATTAGACACTTAGTATGTGGCAGTTGTTATTCAACATCTCCATAATTTTTTGCTTATGTGATGAAATAGGTGTGAACTGAAACACAGTTGGGAGTTCTTGGCTCAGTTGCCCTCTTTGCAATATGGGAAATGCTTGGTCATATTTCTGTCTTTACTGCCGTGGTCTGTCCCATTGCCATTGTTTGTTGGAGACTGGGTTATAAATAAGGAAACGGCCATAAGTAGCTTTTTAGAAACGTCATCAGAGATGTGAAACTCTGATAGAAGTATGTGCTTTCTGTAAAATGTTGTATCTAGTTATTTTTGGATACTAGGTCTAGCATTATATATTAGGGTGTCTAATATTTGCTTTCATAGAGATGTCACTTGAATACCACCTTCCTCCAAAGCATTTCTGCAATTAGTGTGCTGATATTTTTGAATTTCCCTGTTAGGGTCCATTCTTCTGTGTTAAAACATCAACTTGTCTGAAGTCCTATATTCAAATAGAAATGAATTAATAAAGTGCAGATTCTGGTTCTAAGTGCTAAATAAACTGATTAAGTGTAGTATTATGATTATGATCTTTTAAATCCTCATAACAGCTCTATAATGTAGGTATTGTTATTATCCCTATATTGCCTTTAAGGAATGTGAGGCACAGGGGAGTTAATTCACTTTCTCAATGCCATTCAGTGCATAATTGATAAAGTTTGAATCTAGGTCAGTTGGGAGCCTGCACCCAACTCCAACAGTATCTTGCTTCTCAGGACAAGGGGTAAAGCTTCTGGCCACTAACACCTTAGCCTGAATCATATAAGCATTCATTAAAAGGAGCCTGAGACATTTAAAAGCACCATGCATGCATGCTCAGTTGCTTCAGTCATGTCTGACTCTTTGCGACCCTGTGGACTGTAGATCACCAGGCTCCTCTCTTAATGGGATTCTCCAGCCAAAATTACTGGAGTGGGTTGCCATGCCTTCTTCCAGGGTATCTTCCCGACCCTGGGATCAAACCCACATGTCCCTGCATCTCCTGCACTGCAGGCAGATTCTTTACTGCTGAGCCATCAGTGAGGCCTAAGAGCACCATTACGTGGCATTGTACTGTTAATCATTATGTAATGTATAGGTTATAACATGTACTGCTGTCTAAACTATTTAGATAGGCCCTAGTCAGAAACAAATAAAAGAGCTGAGGCACTGGAGTTGGAAGTCTAGCACACTGAGATAGACTAGTGAAAACAAATAAGAAACTATCAAAGAAATGTCATTTATTCCCAACTTTGCCAAAACTACTAACTAGCAAGCATATTGAAGGTAGATACCTGTATCTACCATTGTATCAGTTCACTAATTATGAAAATGGTTTCAGGTCTAGCTATACTATGAGTTTGGAAGATTTTTCACATCAAACCAAGAGAAATCTCAATAAAATTTGAAACTAGAAACCTCCATTGATCTATAATTCTGGTTTTGTGACAATACCATAGTGTCTTGATTACTGTAGCTTTGTAGTATAGTCTGATGTTAGCAAGTTTGATTCCCCTAGCTCCATTTTTCTTTCTCAAGATTGCTTTGGCTATTTGGGGTCTTTTGTGTTTCCATACATATTGTAAAATTTTTTGTTCTAGTTCTGTGAAAAATGCCATTGGTAATTTGATAGGGATTGCATTGAATCTGTAGATTGCTTTGGGTAGTATGGGTATGGTCATTTTCACAATATTGATTTTTCCAATCCATGAACATGGTGTATCTCTCCATCTATTTGTGTTGTGTTTGATTTCTTTGATCAGTATCTTATAGTTTTCTGCATTTGAGTCTTTTGTCTCTTTAGCTAGGTTTATTCCTAGGTTTTTATTCTTGTTGTTGAAGTAGTGAAGGAGTTGTTCCTTAATTTCTCTCTGATTTTTCATTGTTAGTGTATAAGAATGCAAGGGATTTCTCTGTATTAATTTTGTTTGTATCTTGCAGCTTTACTGAAGTTGATTTTTTTTTTATGATATGATTTTGTCTTTAGCTTAAAAAAAATTTTTTTTTGCTTATTTTTGCCTGTGCTGGATTCTTCATTGCTGTGTAGCCTTTTCTCTATTTGCAATGAGTAGGGGCTGCTCTTCATTGCTGTGTTCCAGCTTCTCATTGAAGTGGCTTCTCATGTTGCAGAACATGGGCTCTAGGACACGCAGGCTTCAGTGGCTGTGGCATGTGGGCTCAGTAGTTACAGCTCACAGGCTCTAGAATGCAGATGCACTAGTTGTGGCACAGTGATCTGTGGCATGTGGGATCTTCCCAAACCAGGAATCGAACCCATGTCTCCAGCATTGGCAGGCAGATTCTTTACCACTGAGCCCCCAGGGAAGCCCCTACCATTGCTGTTTCAATAGAAGAATTTAAACCCCTCATGTAAGAAGAAAATAGATTTTGTTGGCATTCTAATATCTTTAAAAGAAGCATTTTGTATGAGTGCCTATGGGTTTGTACATTGATAAAAACAAGCAGCATGTGTTCAAAAGACATTTGAAAGATGGTGTTTTCTTCTTTCCACAGATAATAATAGCTGTAAGCCAGCTGATAGCAGATGTAGCACTAAGTGGAGGATCGAGATTTCAGGAGTCTTTATTCATTATCAATAACTTTGCAAACAGTGACAGACCTATGAAGGTATGTTCTCACTTTAAGTGAAAAATTAGAACCATGTTCACTGTCAGGGGAGTTTCACTTCTCAAGGTAAACTCTGCACTGGATTCACAACTTTTATATAGTATCAAGTGTACAGAATGTGAGCTTCACGAGTCAAGGCTTTGTCTAGTACATCCCTGTACCTCTATCACCTAGAACACTGCCAGGTACACAGTAAATGTTCAGTATTAGTTGAATGGGTGAATGAAATGACTATACTGTGTGTACATAATTATGATATGATTTGAATTTTTTTCTGGGCTTGATATTTAAACTTACTTAGAAAAGAAATGGGTTTTTTTTTCCTCAACCGTTTTTACCATTTGTAAGATTGGTTAATTAAACACTGAGTTGGAAATTTCACAAAACATCACTTTCTAGAGTTGCTAATAGCTGCTGGATCCTTTGTCAGCAGATGAGAAATGGCACAGAAGGGATTCATTACTACATGATATTCCAAGTTGAAAGAATCATCTGTTAACTGGGGCTTGCCAGAGATACTCATTGGCAAACCCATGTCCAAGGCTATTGTTCTTAGGTAACCGTTGGCTGAGGTCAAACCCACAGCCCTGACCACCACTCCTCAGACTTACCTATATATTTCAAATCTAAAATGTTGTAAAAGTTTATTTGTTGTTTTGTTGCATGGAGAGTAGTTTCTGTTCTTCAGTGATGTACATGTGGAAGGGAAGAAGACTCCTTTGCCAATAGAGAACGTTTCCTCCCAGAGGAATTGTCCCCATTCTTGGGAAAGGTCATCTTCCAGCATAATTTGACAATTTGTGTAAAATCTGGAAAAAAAAGTTTGCAGTCATAGCATACTTGATGTTTGGGACATGTTGAATCTTTGTACCAAAACATATTCCCATAGGAATGTTGCTTAGACTGAAAAAACAAAAAACACTGAATAGTGCCAGCCATTCTCAGGCTGGGAAAGTAGAACTTTTCAGGCAGTTCTACTGGTTCCTTATGAAATCAGTATATGCTCCAACTAATCCCATGAGCACAGAAATAACTTATGTCCTTGACCATCTTTCACTCATACCCTAAGAGTATTTTCCATTTTTTACCATCCTTAATTCCATGTTATGTAAAAGTTAGACTGCCAACATTTTTGAAGTAAATGGGGTCTGTTTTAGTCCTGCTTGATAGGAAATCTTTTTCATGACTAATTTGTGAAATGACAGCTTTATGCTGGTAGGGCAATCATTACCAATAAACTCTCTTACAACAAAGGTATAGATTTCTCCCAGTAAATGAAATCTCTATTAATGTATATGAAGAGACTTTATATACACACACAAACACATATCAATAATTTTTAAAAATCATCTTTAAAGAAGACTCTTTTGAAAATCATTTTCTCTACCTTTGGTGATATTCACATTGAAAAGCTCCCTAAGGCCTGTACCTGTCCCTACTCCTCTTCTCAGAACCCTACATATAATTGTGATTACTCCAGTGGGGTGAATAGGAAACTCTAACTCCCTATTTTTAAAGACTAAGGCAACCCTTTAATAGAAAGTAATGATGTATTTAAGCTCTTCAGAGTGTTCTGTGATTCATAAACTCTTATTTCCATAATTGGAAATTGGTTTTCAGGTTAATGCATATGGTAGTGGGTGGATGGAAGAATGACTAAGGTCATGAGCTCTGTAGCCCAACTGCCTGGATGTCAGTCCTGTCTCTACCACCTAACAACTTCACGACTTTGGCCAAACTACTTAACTGCTGTGTATCTTGGTTTTCTCATTGGTAAAATGAATTATATTAGTCTTAATTCATAATGTTGTTATAAAGTTGGAAACATGTAAAGTGCCCAGGCCACTGCTTGGTACATAGTAAGATATCAATTTTTAGTTACTATTAACTAAAATTACACAGTAAAGGTGAATATGGATTACATTTATTGCCGTTGAATTGACAGCAGAGGAGGTGGGGTCTGAAACCAGGTAGTCTGGCTCCAGAGTCTGTGCTTTTATGTGTTAGGAATATACTGCCATCAAACTCAGTGCTTTTGAAGTCTGAGATAGTAGAATATTGTTTAAAGAATTAATTTAAAACTCTTTAGGCATGCCCACCTGCCAAGAACCAAGAACCGAATACCAAGATTTCTGACAAGGGGTAAAAGTTCTATGTTATTCCCAGGATGGGCTGCTTAGGACTAGAGCACAACAATAACATTGAAAAACATGTCTTTTTTGTTTGTTTTGATATTAGGCAACTGCTTTTCCCTCAGAAGTCAAAGACTTGACCAAGAGAATCCGAACTGTTCTTATGGCCACAGCTCAAATGAAGGAGCATGAGAAGGACCCTGAAATGCTAATTGATCTCCAGTATAGCTTAGCCAAGTCCTACGCAAGTACCCCAGAGCTCAGGAAAACCTGGCTTGATAGCATGGCCAAGATTCATATAAAAAATGGAGATTTTTCAGAGGTGACTACTTATGACTTTGTTCTAAACAAAAGCCCTCACAAACCCCTGGGGCCCAATCTCATGGTTCCTTCTTTGTCATCCTTTTTCAGGCAGCAATGTGTTATGTCCACGTAGCGGCTTTGGTTGCAGAGTTTCTTCACCGAAAAAGTAAGATATTTCTGTTCTTCAAGTCAGGGAGAACTTCAGCTAGCCAAGGGGTTTTATCTTTGTAGCTTGCAGCTATGAATGGCATATGATTGAGCTCTGAAAATAAGCTCACCTTTCATCTCACTCTCTGTTTTTTTTTTCCACTCACTGTTAAACAGAAGTTATTCTAAAAGAAAACTGGATTGTTCATTTTCCTTCTGCTTTCATTAAGAGTACAAGAATAAGTTAAACAGTACAGGGCCAGTCCTGATGCTCAATGTTTATTTTCCAAGACTGTCTCCCTGGAAGACTGCCACAGATTAAATTCTTCTCAGGGCTTATGGGATGCTCTGGATAACGTACATCACTTATTTTCCCCTGTCTGCCCCAACTTTACAAACAACTGTCCATGAATTATATCTCTACAGTCATTTTAGTATAACAGTATCTTGGTATTGAAAGGGAGTTGCAAGGACTTCCCTGCACTCCCAGTGCAGGGCTCAGGTTCTGTCCCTGGTCAGGGAATCAGATCCTGCATGCCACAACTAAAGGTCTCACCTGCTACAACTAAGACCCAGTGCAGGCAAATAAAGAAAGAAATATATTTCTAAAAATGCTAAAAAGACAAAAAAGGGAGTTCACACATCAGCTAGATGGCCCTATGTCATTTTTTTGGTATGCTTATCTCAAGAGCAATTTGGCATCCATACATGGATGAAGTACCTTTGTGGGAGCTGTGGGATCCAGCCCCACATACCAAGGGACCTGGGAGGAATGTTACCCACCCATGCATTGGGTAATAGGCAGACAGACCTGTGTCCTGTCTGTGGACCTTGCAGTGGCCTGTGAGCTGGCTCCAGCCCCACTTAGCTGCAGTCTAGAGTCCACTGGAAAACACTTGTTTTAGATAATCACCCATAGACGAGAAAGCCTTGGGGGAAGTCCAGAAGTCCCGTGCAGAAGTTCCAGCATGCTATTGGAGCAAAAATTATACAAGTTTGAATGCATTGAAGAGGGTAAGAGGAATAGTTTGATGTATTCATGTCACGTTTTCCACAAGGTGGCACAGCTCAGTGCCAAGAGAGACTTTCTCACCCTTGATTTCTAATGCAGGGAAAAGTGGGGGCATATGAAGGGGTACTGTGTTTCCCAGCATCACAGGATGCTCCCAAAGAGGCCCATTTCTCTCTTGCTCCATCCAGAGTACTGAGTTGTGAGCTGAATGACGGAGGCAGGAAGAGGCTGAGAGAGCAGCAGATAGGATTCTTAGAGGGCGTTACACGCAAACAGACCCTACTAACCACATCATAGACTCAATGAAAAAGGCTGCCGACAAATCCCTAGAGATATTTAGCCTGTGGATCCCCCACTGGCCCACAGGCACCCCTGGTGCTCCATGTGCTTCAGCCACACTCTCCACCATCCTGTAGCTGGATCTCTGGGTGTGTTGCTGAAGGCAGTGAGAGCCACCTCTCACAGAAGGCTAGTAAGCTTGTGCAGAAAGCCAGCCAGAGTTTGTGAGCCAGGGAGAGACCTCAAGTAGCATCACCCTTGGGAAATCAAATGGGAGGCTGTTAACACCTGGCCTAGTGTGTTACATGATGGAGAAAAGACATATGTGCTCATGAATTCTGTCACATGTGGGAGCCAGAATCACAGAGCAGGTGTATCCATAGAAGGTCTGTGAAAGCCTCAGAATCCCTAGCAGGACAGATGGAAAGTATTTCTCACCCAAAATAGGTCAGTAAAATTGGTTTAAGGTGGCTGCTATTTCAGATGTTAAGATAGCATGTAAAATTTCAAGGAACATGAAAAATGAAGGAACTATGACACTACCAAAGGATCACAATAATCTTGTAGTAAGGAAGACATGGAGATCTGCAATTTATCCAATAAAGAATTCAAAATAGCTTTTATAAGGAAGCACAATGAGCTACAATAAAACAGAAAATTCAATAAGATCAGGAAAATAATACTCAGACAAAATGAGGAGTTAAACAGAGTTGGAAGTCTCATAGAAAGAACGAAGCATTTTCTGGCACTTATGAATACCATGAATGAAGTTAAAATTGAAATAGAGAGTATTAAAAACAGAATGGATCAAGGAGAAGAAATAATCTGCATTAAAATACTAGACCTTTGAAATTGTCGAATCAGAGGAGAAGAAGGATGAAGAGTAAAGAAAGCCTATATGATCTGTGGGATACTATCAGCAGAAACCTTACAGGCTAGGAGACAGTAGGATGATATTTTTCCAGTTCTGAAAGAAAAAAATAACTGTCAACCAAGAATACTCCATCCAGCAAATTTGTCCTTCAGAAATGGACAGATGAGTACTTTTCCAGGAAAACAAAAGCTGAGGGAGTCCATCACCACTAGACCTGTCTTCCAAGAAATGCTGAGCAAAGTTATTCCTGTTGAAGTGAAAGGATGCTAGTTAGTATTATGGAAAAAACATGAAATGGATCCATATGAATGGATGAAGAAGACATGGCACATGTAGTCAGTGGAAAGAAGGAAATCCTACCATTTTGACAGCACAGATGGATTTGAGGGTATCATGCTAAGTGAAATACATCTGAGAAAGAGAAAGACAAATACTGTACAATCTTACTTATATGTGGAATCTTAAGCCAAACTTGTAGCCGTGGAAAGTAGAATTTAGAAAGTAGCCAGAGGGGTGCCAAAAATAGGGTGATTTTGGTCAAAGGGTACAAATTTCCACTTAAAGATGAATATGTTCTGGATATCTAATGTATATAGTGATTATAGTGAAGAAGATTTTGTTATATACTTGAATGTTGCTAAGAAAGTAGATCTTAAATGTTTTCACTCTATCCAAAATGGTAATTATGTGTGGTGATGAACTCTAATGTGGTAAGTCATTTCACAATATATACATGTGTCAAATCAACACATATACCTTAAATATACACAGTGTTCAATATCAATTTTGTCTCAATAGAGCTGGGGCTGGTTGTAGGGCTGGCGGGGGGGCATCCACAAAAGGAGTCATGGTCTTAAAGGGTTCAGGATTCAACAAGTCTAATTCAGGAATCTGCCTGAAAGCTTCTCTTTCCAAAATTGGTATTGTTGACTACTGTAACAACTACTTAAATAGTAAAACAGTTGAGTTAGGAGAATAGATACACATATATATGTGGCTGAGCCCTTTGCTCTCCGCCTGAAACTGTCACAGCATTGTTATTTGGCTCTACTCCAATATAAAATAAAAAGTTTAAAAAAAATTGATTGACATTGGGCACTGCAAAGAAATCTCTGTTGATCATAATTGCCAAGCTATTGGGTTGGCCAAAAACTTCATTTGGGTTTCTTGTAACATCAGATGGAAAACCCCGAAAGAACTTTTTGGCCAACTCAGTATTTCCTTGAAGGCAGTCAAATGAGTAGTAACATTACTGCAAAATGAAACCATCTTGTGGGAGTCACATCACTCTGGTTTTGGCTATGAGAACACAACCATGTTTTATTTTTTAATTCCAGAATTTCTATAGTTAACCAGGTATTTTTCTTCACAAACAAAATGCCATAACTAAAATGATTCATTTTACTTGCATATTAAATTAACCACCTTCTGTTTGGTTCTGAATTTCTTTAAAACAATCATATGTTTGAAATTGACATTCTCTAGTATTTTCTTTTTTGTACATATGTGGTTTTAAAGTGCAGAACAAGATTAAGTATCAAAAGAAGGCCTTGTTTGAGGCTTCTTTTCCCTACATCACTGGTGTGCCTGTGAAATTGCCATAAAGCAAATACTGAAATTGCACACCTTCAGTTAGACATAAACTAACAAATATGAGAACCCTAAACACAACTAAATAAGGTTTTAGGTGTGTCTTTCAGATATATCAGGTTAATATTATCTCATCTTTTCAATTAGTAGAAATTTGAAATAAGAGTTTTATGTCTACTAAGTATAAACCTACACGCATTAGATACTGAAAATAGTTAACTATATTAAAGTATTTCCTTAGAATTTTTTCAGAGGGGCAAAGACCTTAAAACTAAGCAAAAATCAAGAATTATTTCTCTCCATTATCAGTTCTTAAGCTATAGAATGATAACTAAAGGATTGGAGAAAATAGGAACTAAAATATATAAATTTGCTGTGATTTTTTTTTTGGCATTAGCTTGAGGCAGTCAGCCTGAACAGCAAACAATGTGACATGTTTCAAGAAGTGGAAACAGTTCTTTTTTATTTATTTATTTATTTTTTTCCCATTTATTTTTATTAGTTGGAGGCTAATTACATCATTGCAGTGGTTTTTGTCATACATTGAAATGAATTAGCCATGGATTTACATGTATTCCCCATCCCAAACAGTTCTTTTAACCAATCATTTAAATAGTTATTTCACAAAACCTTCAAGGGTTGTTTTTTTGTTTTTTTGTTTCAGAATTTATCCTGTGTAGAAATCAAAGAGCCCTTCTCTGAGTAAGAAAAAACAATGTTTTGCATTTTAACAAAAGTAATGTTAAATTTAGGAGAAGTTTACATATTTATTTATAGGTACCACCTATTTTTAAGCCTGGAAAATTCTACTCACTTAAACTAGAAAATCTTATTCTGAAATTGTGGCAGTAGTAAAATCCTTAGGATTTCCCTCCCTTAGCTTCTTTCATTCCAATGATCTGAAACACTTGATTTTGTTTATTTTGTGATTAAAGTATGATAGTTATGCCAAGGTAAACCACTAGTGTTAAAACACAAGTTAAACTCTTAATCTGTTACACTGTCTTCCAGTCTGAGAAATCCATAACCTAGGTTATTCTGGATATTCACAGAGTAAATAAAAGTACATTTGAGTGCAGGACTGAAAGAAAATTTTCCATTTATACTTAAGGCAAACTTATGTATCAAAAATAATAGAGCAATTGTAGAACCCTTTGCTTTCTATCAAATATCCTTTTATGATTAAGACAAAATCTCTGACATATCAATTGCCAAAATTTTTCAGTTTTCTCAAAGTTCTATGCCATTTCTCTTGAAGTCATCATAAAGCTTTCTTTTTTATCAAGATGGAATGAAATGCTACAGCTGACACATTGGAGACAGATGTTCTCCTGTTTAGAGTTTTTAAGAAAAAAAAAATAGGTTTGTCCCTTTGGGTGGTTGCTTGAGTGAGCAAAGACTTGGTCCCTGGGCATCCTGAAGTGACCACAAACACCAGAGAGGGGCCATTTCTAGATCCTGTTTGTCATGCTTCGGGCACTGAACTGAAAGGGAAAGTGGAGAGAGAGGTACAGTGCTCCCTGCCTCACCCCCACCCTCATACTTCTTTCAGCCAGAGCTCTTGCTCTTTGTACCAGAGATCTTAAGGATCTCATTTTCTTCCCTTTTACTAGGTTACCTCTAAGCGGTGATATGAGGTGTTAGTTACTCCCACTCCCAAAAATACATAATGGAAAAACAGATCTAAATGTCCTTACTTCTACTTTGTCTGCAAACGTCAACATGTTCTAGGTGTCATTCTCTGGAGACTAGACTCATGTACCTCTTCCCCTTCTCTTCCTGAGACAGTGCACAGCTGTTTTCCCCCAGGGTAGACAAGAATCAAGTGTGCATTCTCCCACCACCACAGAGCATCCGAGATTCAGCAAAGCTTCAGGCCTGCAGAGCTCCTCCATCACCCCAGGAAAAGGAATTTCCTTTCCCATAGAGTCTGTTCTTTTCGTGCCTTTTAGGGTAATGTTGGTCCCTTTCCCAAGTCTTTATACCCGGGATCTGACAGCTTCAGTTCTGCGTAGCTTTTCCTTTGCTCAGTTCCTTCCCAGTTACAGCCTTTTCCCTTTCTGCCCTCCACTTGAGGCTCTTATCTCCTAATCCTCTTCTAACTAGCAGTCTTATTTTAGCAGGGGTAGCTTTCCCATTGTCCAGACTCTGCTCCACTTTGTTCACGGGACCATTCGTGCTCAAGGTAGTCGTCTACTTGGACGGTTTGCATCTTGCTTGCCCTAGGATAACATCAGGAAAACAGAAGCCACAGCTCTGAAGGGCAGAATCAGGAATCCAGGTCACATTCCAGAAAGATTTAAAGCAGACCCTTTAAGACCAGGTGATATAATGCTACACAGGGCTACAGAAGAGCCCTCAAACACATATACACTGGCCTAGATTTAGTAACTTGTTTCATCTGAAACAAGACTCGACAAAACAAGACTAAAGGGAATCAAAGTTTTTCCCAAGCATTTTGAAGACCCACAAAAAAGAGTCCTCTTATCATTGGATAGTTTGGTGGGTGTTGATAACTTAGACAAACAAGGATATATATATATATGAATATGTGTGTGTATGTGTTGGGATCGAACCCAGGTCTCTTGCATAGCAGGCGGATTCTTTACCAGCTGAGCCACAAGGGAAGCCACAAGGGAAGTGTGTATCTATATATATACACACACAGGAGATGATCTCTAATTGGATATGCATCATCAGGCATAGGAATCAAGATAATGCACTTAGCAAGAAGAGTGGATTGCAGTAACTCTTAACCTGTTTGTTTCTGAGAGGAACCATAATTTACCCTCCCTCTACTTGAGATACACACCGAAAGACTCTTTCCCAAGATGCTTTGGCCCCATTTTGTCCTCTCCTAAATCCTGGGCTTCTCAATAAACCCTGGATGTGGGAACCTTTTAGAATAAACTATCCTCAGAGTAGACAGAATTTTTCCCCCAGTCATGGATGTAGCTGCCTGAGGCCCTCAGGAGGTTGACTCTTTTCTTTGTTAAAGACTATATTCTTTATCTGTTCACTCAAGTTTTGGGCCCTCATCTTTAACTGCCTAACTCTTCACTTTATAAAGGTAACAGAGTGGGATATTTTCTTCTAAATTTCAAAAAGTTCTCTCAATGCACTTCTACTCAATGAGTGTACCATAGACCAAGACATGATACATGATCAGAATGCTGAGAAATCTCAGTATGAATTTTGCCTTTCTTAAACCTTCCTTCTTCCTTCCCCAGCCTCTAACACCAGGAAGCTTACCAAATATTTAGTCATGAGAACATCATCATTTCTAAGCATCACTATTAGATTGTAGAACAGTAGATGGCAAAAGCTGTTTGTCCCCTTTGCAACCAGTGATTTTCTACTGACTAGCAGATTCTGTTATAAAGAGACTGAATTTTCCTTTTAAGTGAAAACCCACTTATATAGGGTTAAATGCAACCACAGCAAGAGTGTTGGGACATGTTCCTAAGTGCAAAATCTGTAGAACAACCATGTGGCCTTCTATCCCCAGACTCTTGTTTGATGGTAACAATTTGGTCCACAATCCTACAGCAGCTGTTCTCAGCTTGGGCTCACTTCTTACTTCCCAGCAGTCCAACTGCAGTCACTTACTATACCAACTGCTAGCAATTATTTAATTTTATCTCGAGAAACCTAGTTTACTTGTTGGTAGCTTTGCTAAAACTAACTCATTGAATACTTGTTGTATGTTAGTATGTTAGGTACTGTTCTAAACACTTTACATTTCATTGAATTTTTATAAGTAGTTGCCATCTGTTTTACAGATACAGTCCTAGAGAGATAAACATATCTAAAATCACACAGTTAATGATAGAACTGGGTCTATCTAACTCCAAAAGCTCTAGTTCTTCCAGTGCCCCATCGAAGGATGCTTTATCCCTGGCATCTATTTTATTTCTTGCCTCTCTTTACAAGTCCTAGGCCACTTTTCCAATTCTCCAGTAAAACAAGGAACTAGAGATCACAACAAAAGCTCATCAATGTTTACCTGAAAAGTACATGCCCTTTTTGTTTAGGCGATAGATGATAAACATGCACAGGATCAAAGTGTTAATAACAATTTTTAGATCACATTAGGAAAACATTTACTATAGTAGGCATTGCAGATGAGGCATAGTCAGAGAATGAAACTTATTTGTTTGTACTTTGAGCTCTATGTTTGGGGAAAAGACTGGTAGGAGGTATAGTAGAGAGACAGAATTGTTAAAATTGGGGTTTTTTTTGGTAACTGAAAATTGCTATTATGACTATGTTACTTACCAAAATATGTGTATATTTTTAAGGATAACTAATGAATGCAAGTTTTTCATTTACAAAGCACTTTTAAAAAGTAAATTTACTTCGCTGCTTTTTATTCACACAGAATTATTCCCTAATGGATGTTCAACCTTCAAAAATATTACTCCCAACACTGATGAAGAAGGAGCAATGAAAGAGGATGCTGGAATGTTGGATGTCCATTATAGTGAAGTAAGACTCCAGGGCCTACATTGCCAGTTAGATAAATGTAACTTCTTTGAATATATTTACATTAAGAAATTATTACAGCTAACTTAATTTGAAAGGTAACTAAGGGTTGATGAACTATAAGGATTAAAACTACTCAGGTAACAGATATCCCTTTTTGGAATGTGGAGCCCTATCTCTGCAACAGTTCTTACTGTCTAGTTTTAGAAATATACCATATATCATTGTCCAATCACCTTCCCAGTAACCAGACCACAGTCACAATACTCTGGAGATGTCTCCATAAAAAATAGAGTTAACAATGTAACAACTAAGTAGAGGAGGCTTCTTCTCCTCTTTTAAATATGTAAAATTTCTGCTCTGAGCTTCATATGGATAGTAAACAGCTGCAGTTGTCACTCACTCAATAAATATTTGTTGAGCACTGACTTATGAGCAACGTTTTGGACTTGGTGATAGAAGAGCTATAAAATAATTAGATATGCTGATTCCCTGACCTCCAATGTCTACCTAAAGAGACTACCCACCTACACAAAATAGAGAAAAGACAGGCAGTGCCATTTGAATGATACAGACAGTATGTTCCGTGCAGAATCAAAGGTAACAGATAACTTTGGGCTGAGGAGAGTTAGGATTAGAGAGAGGTTTGAAGAATGAGGATGCCCTGAATGCATTTCAGCAGCAGAGGATAGCAGGGTTAAAAGTTAAGAAGTGGGAAAGTGTAAGGCGTATTTTAGGGGGCAGAGTGAATGGATCATTTTGGCTAAGCCATTGGGTTCGCATAGGGAAGAGTAGTAGTGGAGGTCTGATTCTGAGAAACTTTGAATGTCTGGACTTTATTGATTAGAATATTGAGTTGCTGTCAAAGGTTTTTGAGCAGAATAATAAGATGCAGTGAAGCAGGAGGAAAGGTTAAATTGGTGGTAATGTGGGAAATGCATTGGAGGTCAATGGATGGTGGCTGAGGGCAGAGGCTGGAATGCGGGCTACCCTAAGTGTCCAGTTGTGAAGCAGCCAGGCCTAAACCCAGCTTGTGACAGGTTCAGGGAACACTGAGGAAAAGAGGAAGACTTGCTGGCTATGTAGGAGAAGAGTCAAAAGTAGCACTGAGATTTCAGGTTTGGGTATTTATAGAAAAATGATGGATGGGCGATTTTATACTGGAGGTGATGAATTCCATTTTTGATGAGTATTGAATTTGAAGTATCAGTGGAAGGTTATTGAAATGGAAACTACATCAAGTCATTAGACATTCAGAATTGAATCTAAGGAGAGAGATCAGGGTTGCGGAGCCACATCTGGAAGTCATAGCTGTGTGAGAAGCAAAGCACACTGATAATGGGAGATAATATAGCAAGTGAAGACCAGAGAACCAAGAACTGAATCACAGTGACATTAACAATTAA